TATCGTCCACTTCTGCAAACAACTGGCCCACTTCCTGCTCTGGAGTTGCTGGCCAGCCATGTTATGTCTGTCATCACACTCTTGCAAACACTGGCCTACTCTACTCTGCAGGGTTTTCGCTGGTTAACTGTTTACTGATCGGTCATCAACCTTGCAAACACTGCCCCACTCTGCTCTGAGTCGCTGGCAAATTGTGTTATGATCTGTCGTCCCCTTTGCAAAACATTGGCCCCACTGCTGCTCTGACGTCCTCCTGGCCACTGTGGATTTCTGAGACTGTCGTCCACCTCTGCAACACTGGCCACTCTGCTCAGAGTCACGTGGCCACTAGACTTTCTGAGATAAAAATCGTCCACCTCTGCAAACACTTGGCCCACTCTCGCCTCTTTATGAGTCGCTGGCCACTGGACTTTTCTGACGATATCGATCCACCTTTACAACACACTGGCCCATCCTATTACTGAGTTGCTGAACTGTGTTTTGTCTTGTTGTCCACCTCCTCCTTTGCAAAAATTGGCCCACTCTGCTCTAAGTCGCTGGCCACTGTGGACTTTCTGAGATGTCGTCCACCTCTGCAAACACTTGCCCACTCTACTCTAAGTCGCTGGCAACTGGGTTATGTCTCTTGTTCACTTTGACTTGTGCAGAATATCTTCACCAACATAAACCGTATACGTGAATAATGATCATGAATAGTAACAGTATACTCGAATAGTAACTGTATGCATGAATAGTAACTGTACATGTGAATAGTACTATGCATGAATAGTGCTGGGATTAACAGTGACGGGCTCAGCAACAGTAACGCCAATAGTAACTATTCACCATCGAGTTACTATTCTACTATTCATCACTAAGTCGATTTTGCAACGTCTTTCCGACATTCTGCAACGTCTTTCGAGCGGACAACACCAATGGACTCGTGTAGCATTTTCTTTCTATCTGGTATATTTATTTTTCAAAATATATACCCGGATCCGTCCACAAACTGAACCGGCTGGGCCATACCGAAACCTCCGGCTCTGATAAACCACTTGTTAGGAATTCAGCTCTGATACCAGTTGCCTTGGCATCAGCTCTTGATACCACTCGTTGGGCCCTTCAAACCGATTAAGAAGAACATTAAACGCAGCGGAATAATAAAAACTTGTGACACACAGATTTACGTGGTCACCCGTCACACTGTTTAGGGGCTACGTCCACGGGACAAAATTCGATCTTCTTTCCACTATTAAAATAGTAGGTACACACGAGAGTAATACAAAAAAATAGTACACTCAAATTGTCCCAAAACACTCTTCATAATAATCTTCCTCACATATTTTTCTCTTCCTGTAAGCTTAGGGAAACCATCCTAAAATCAGAAAACTGCTCTCGCTACATTTTCTCTCTTCTTTCTTCTGTTGTGTTGGTGTGTTCTGCCTCTGGCCGTCGTATAAACCCATCCTAAAATTAGAAAACTCTCTCGCTACATTTTCTCTCTTCTTTCTTCTGTGTGTTGTGTGTTCTGCCTCTGCCTCTATTTATAGGCAGATTAACGCGTAGAAATGCCATGTACAACTCCTGCCGTGTACAACTCCATTGCCTTCCATTTTTGACTACACGTAGGGATGCCGTGTACAACTACGTTGCCTTCCATTTTTGACTTCCTATATTTTCCTTTCAAATTTATTGTGGGTCCCACTTGAGTGGGCACACAACCACAACAAATAAAGATAGAAAATGTGAGAGTAATGGTGAAAATCGTTGATTATCAGGGAGACAGAAAATCTGAGTGTAACGGTGAAAATCATTGATTATCAAAGGAGACCTACAAAAATCCAGAATCAATTAAAAAATTACTTATTTTAATATTAGTGTAAACTATGTGATACAATTTCCACGGCTTTAGACGCAAGTTCATTTTCTACATCTAAGAGGGTGAAAAAGAAGTATCAGTAGAACTAATCAAATCTAACTCATAAGTAGATGATTAAAGCTCACCTTGTTGATTGAAATTGCCAAAAATGACTTGGTATCGTCAAAAATCAACGCTCCACATCCACCTCTCTCTGTCTTTCATCACTGTCGAGCTTAGAAGGACAAAGAAATATAACCTTGGATGTTAGTTAGCCTGAACTGTGACGCAACACCGAGTGGAGATGCAACAGTAAGGAGAGGAGACATCAATCGCTTGAGCAAAAAGAAGAAATGAGTTTTTATTTTTGATGCGACTCTATTTTATTATGAAAGAGGGAACAATATATTTGTTTGGCTTTATTTAAGAGGGGAACAAAGAGAACTAGATGAGTAGAAATCATAAAGTAAAAAGGGGAAAGGTTGTGCTTAGGGGTGTTAACGAGCCGAGCTGAGTCGAGCTCCTGCCAAGCTCGAAGCTCTGCTCAATAGGATTTAGCTCAACTCAAGCTTCGTTCAATAGCTCAACTCGAATTCGGCTTGAGCTCGAGAGGCTCGAGTTCAACTCAAAAAATTTTGAGCTCGGATTCAGCTTGAGGTTCGAGGCTCGAGGAAGTCCAAAATAAATATTATATATATTATATATAAAGCTCGACAAGGCTCAATCAAGCTCGATGAGCTTTCGAGCTGAACATCATTAGGCTCAAGTTTAAACTTGATTCGAGCCGAACTTTTTTCGAATCGAGCTCGAATAGCTCGCGAGCTGGCTTGACTCATTCATACCCTTAGTTGTGCTAAATTTTTATGAGAATCTCTCTCCTTAAAATATAAAATTTCCTTCCAATCTCTTAGTTAAAATAGAAGCAAATGCTCAAAATCTATACAATCTCACTTTTTAGAGGAAGCATCACTTCAACATTGGAAAAATCCTTTGATTCTCCTTTATATATATATATATATAATGTTTTATTCATCGCACCTTCGATCGATTCGATACATACTTTCTACCGTGTGTCTTTTCATTTGAATAACTTTTTAAATTCTTCTAAGAAAAGTGGTTACTTTAATAAGTAATTCTATAATAAAATCTAGTATTTTTTAATAACTCACTTAATTACTTTTATTTGTCACCTAATTTTTTTTATTCACATGGAAAATTATTTAAGCTATGATATCATTAACCATAACCTAGTTTATAGTAGGCACTTTAAAAAACTTGTGTGTCTGATTTAGTGACAAATGCAATGAGTAAAGTTTACTGAAATTCTTTTACTTGTTCCGTTACATTTTATTTGTATGGTTTGATAAAATAGACATATTAAAAATTTAGTTAAAGAAAGTTATTTTGCCATTTTTTACCCTTAACTCATTGAAAATATTAATAAAAATCCTTCATTTAATGAAGGATCATAAATATTATTATGAAAAAAATAATTATTTACATGTATAAATTTAAAAATCTTACAAATATTTTGGGACGTCCAGAAAAGAAATAATAAATAAACAAAATAGGACGGAAAGAGTATATAATTTCTAAACCATTTGGTGTTCGAAGTTTACTAGTTCCACTGGTCCTAATTTTTCCCTCTCAAATGTTTAAAATGACTCTATTTCTTGAATCGAAACTTAAGACTTTTAATTAAGCAAAAAATGATATTTATAGTTAATTCCAACCCTTTTATAGTAAAAATATTAAAATTTTAATATCTCTTGATCTCAATAAATTTTTTTTTCTTAGCAATAATACTGCTATTGAATCAACAATGACATATACATGTTTAATTTTAACGGTAACAAAAAATTTAACCACGATATACAATTTAATTACTGCAGTTAATTATATTTTATATGAAAAAAAATAGTGTGAGAAAGAACGGACGCAAATCCAACTGAAAATTGGTTGGAAATTTCTCTGTTCTGAAGGCGTTGCGCTGACTGCTGTTATGTCCAGCTGTGGATGAAAATAGCCGCATGATTATTGACTTTTCCGTGTGGAAAGGATTTTAAACGGTCAAAATCGAAATATTTTGGAGTTATTTTTAAATGGTAACTAAATAAATAAATATAGAATAGTACTGTACTGGTCATAGGGAAGCTTCTCCCCATGGCCCACTTTGGCGCTGTTGAGCTAGAAAACAAACACAGAAGAGATAGAGACCGGAATGACCGTGCAGTCAAACAATCAAATATGGTAAAAACTAAAAAACTACTTCTTTGGGTAAAAAGTGTGTTTGGGTTTCAATTGACTGCTATTCTGCTTGTGGGTAGTGGCTTGACTTGTCATTTACTAATCGTATATTCAGAATACACTTCTTTTGCAATTCAAGCGAAAAAGCCACAAATCTACAACATTTATTGAAATTTTTATACGAAAAAAATTCATATTTTGATTTGAAGAGTTTTGTGAATTTGATTGAATATTTAAATTTTATAACATAAAATTATTTAAATAATAATTTTATCCACTTTGGTCTTTAAAAGTGTTTTATATAAATATAGAATTTAGCTGTTTGAGTAACTTTTCATGAAACGTTAAAAGTTAAACATTGCATGAGTTAATATTTCATAAAATGCTACTTTAACATCTAAAAGTTAGTCCAAATGTTATGTTACTGAACAATTTTTTAAATAGTGTTTAACATTTTGATTACAAGTTATTTAAAATTAATAGTACAAAACTTAGGTTCTCATAAAATTTTAATAGTTTGATTCCATAAATGAATTATATAAATTTTTATAGAATTTATTTATAAGTTTTGTATTTAAATTAACATATGCTAAAATTAACAAAATTTACAAATAAGTTATAATTATATAATGATACAAGCACTAAAAATAATTAATTTGGAATATAAATTAATAAATTTTACTATATATTAAAATGAATTCTACAATTGTTTCAAAACATTAAATATTTTTACTTCAATTTTATTTACTTTCAACATCCATAGGAATTTGGTGGCTTTTTCTGTCAAAAAAATAAAAGGTGGCTTAGAATGGATCGGGCTTTTGAAAGGGCCCATGTTACACAAACTGTTCGGCCCCGAAAAGATAACGAGACCCAATACTGGCCCCAATCTCTTTTTTCTATAAAAGGCGCTCCCATGACCCTTCGGATCCTAGACATTTAACGACGAAGTTGGAGAAGCTTTGCGGCACAGGAAAAAAGTTAGGGTTTATACAGAAGCATTCTCTACAATGATTTACGACGTCAACTCTCCTCTCTTTCGTTCCTTCCTTAGCCAGAAGGGTGGCTCCTCTGATAAGAGGTATTCATTAAGTTTCTCTCTCTCTGTCTGTGTTTGTGCTAATTTAAGGACCTGCTTTTTTGTTACATTTATGAACATCTTAGTTCCATTTATGAACATCTTGTTGTAATTTGATGGTTTTAAATAGGATATTTATGTACTTTCTCTTCTTCTTCTTCTTCTTTTTTTTTTTTTTTTTTTTTTTTTTTTTTTTTTTTTTTTTTTTGCGAGTTCATTATTTGAATATTATGTAGAAGGAATATTTGGTAAAGTTTTGAAAATTTTTGCTGTGTTGGTTATATTTCTAAAAATAAAAACCTGGGAAATTTTTTCCTACTTAATTGGCTGATTTTTTTTTTTTTTTTTTTTTTTTTTTTTTTTTTGCGAGTTCCAATTTTGATATTATGTAGAAGGAATATTTGGTAAAAGTTTTTGAAAATTTTTGCTGTTGTTGGTTAATATTCTAAAATAAAAACCTGGGAAATTTTTTCTACTTAATTTAGGCTGAAAATTTGTGAGAATCTGCTTTTTTGACATTGGTTTTCTTAATGCATTATGTTGTTTTATCTCCTACTTTAATTCATTAAATGAATAGAGTTTTTATGTTTGAACTTTAAATTTGACATTCCCTTAAATTGAATATGAATATGAATTGATGATTGAATGTGACATAAATTGGATACAAATGCTTATGTGAGGTTTGATTATGAACCATGTTTGGACTGACCTTTTACTGAATTCGCGTGGAATAACTAATGAACATGAGGATTTGCTTTTACTTTCTTGAATGTCTTCCATTAAGTTTCTTTATGAGACGTTTTGATGCCTTTATGTGGTTCCTGATGCCATATGGCTCGAAGACAGCTTTTCCAGTCTGCAACTCATTCTTAGCATTTACAGCATGGTTCTACACTTCTACTTGTTCTAGAAAAAAAATCTTCTTCAGAGGATTTACTTCTATATATAATTATTATTTGGCATTCCTTTGCATTATTTTTCCTTAACCAATTGCTCCCTCCGTTCTTTTGTCCTTTCCTTTCTTCCGGGCATTGATAATGATCCTCAATTCCATTTGCTAGTGCTAACATATTTGGCGGGCAACTTAGTGTCTGGAATTTATTATACATTAAATAATATTCCTCTCACATGAGAGATTCTTTTTATTGTTTGTCTTTGTTTTTGTTAACTAGGATGTGCCTGTTTTCCTGTTTTTATGTGCTGAACTTGAAGTTGATGATTTAGCCTCCCTATTTGGATTAACTATCTGCATCTCCCTTTAAAGACTTCATCTAAGCTTTCATTAAGTTGATCTTCTATGCTGCATGATTTGTCTTGTTATTGGACAATCTGTAACTTAGATGTAGTTTTGTTTGATATTTCAGAAAAATGGAGGAGCAAAAGCCAAAGGAACAAAGGCCCAAAGCAAGCGAGAATAAGCCTGTTATGACAGAGTAAAGCTGTTATGATGGAGTGACAGGTGCCTTGTCTACTGAAGCTTTAAATGGGTTTGAATGAATGAAAGATTTTTCAAATTGATATTGTGAAATGTCAGGAATTTTGATTATCTTGTCTAATATGAATGAATGTATTGCTGGACTAAGTTCTTAAATTTGTAGCTTGTTTGGATACGGTGTTATTTTGAGATTGCGATGGGAATAGAATTCTGAGAAATTGTTTTGCAGTGAATTTGGTAATGGTATCAAAGCATATGATGATATAGCATCTCAACTACATGACTTGGAGTGTTATTTTCTGAGAATTTATTCTATGTAGCGTCAAACAAATGTGATTTGGAACAATGGCTTGATAAATGAGTTGTCTATTTGAAAATTAATGGCATAAAGTGTATAGTTCGAATACTTGAAGTGGAGGAGTTTGGAATTGGTATGGCTAAAATGAAGGCTTGCCCTTTTTTATGATATGAACAATGACCAGGCAAGTGTGAATGGTGCTGCCTCATTTTGCATGGTGTACATTTTCACACTTGAAAAGTCGACTGGAAATTTGCTGCTGCTGCTTTTTTTTTTTTTAATCCTAATCCTCATATCGTTTCTGTTTAAAATAACCAGAAGAGGGATTGTATTAGAGAACAGGTGTTAGGATAGGAGAGGATATCATTTTATCTGGTGGTTAACCCTAAAGATGCTTTCTTCAGGCAAAACTAATGGGAAAGTGATTTCTAGGAGTGGGGGCACATGTTAAAGTTATCAACAGCTGGGTCCGGTTGTCTATGATTATATTAGCCATAGTAGCCTTCAAGTTGAAGGTACCTCTGCTATGGCATTTATCTCATTTAATTGTTTATAATTATAAAGATGAAAATAAAATTAGACTTTTCACAGTTCTGGAATGGCAAACCCATGGCAGACTTTTCACAGTTTTGGTTGATTATTACAGATTTCCGTTTCTTATGTGGTTTCTGTTCAAAAAATTGATTTTTCTAGAACAAATTTGCTCTGCTTTTGGATATTCTTTGTCTGCAATATTATCTTTGCAGGATCGAATGTTCTGAATAGAGTAATTCTTGCTCTGCAAATTATTTAAAATATAAATTTCATTCTGAGGTATTTGGATTCGACTGTTTATATTCTGAGGTAATTGGAACATAATAGTTGATGTGATGGGTTGAAATTATAGCAAAAAAAAGGATATTAGCTCATAAACTAACTCTGTTTCTAGGAAATTAGAGTTTTTTTCGTGAATCTTGCATGAGATCCCGATTTCAAGCTTGTAGATTAACCTGAATTAAAAGATTACCATTTTCTTGATTTTAACTTTTCTGCAGATTTTAAGGTAAAGAAAACAAAAAGTTCTGACATATGGTTCTGAATTTAGAAAAGCAAACATCCAATAGACGACCAAATTTTGTCATTTTTCTTAATAATAACTAAAAGAAGAAAAAGTATTCTATTTTTGTTTATGTTCCTGCAAATGCTTCTAATACAGAGTAGAAGACTTTAGTGGTCAAACATAAAAAAAAAAAAGGAAATAAAAAGTAGAATCTACTAAAATCTCTCTAAAACATCCTTATAGAAAACCAAAAGTGAAACAAGACACCTGGGTCCGTTTATGGGTTAAAAGCTAGAGAACAGAGAGATGCATGGAGGGCAATGCACTTGAGTAGCTATGAGTGGTTTCCCATGTGCACCAATCTAATCTCTAAATCCTCACTCTTCTTCTGTCTCCTTTAATCATGCTATGCTTTAACCTATCCACATATCGTTTTTTATCTACATTTGTTTCTAATTGCAAAATTACTCTTTCTCTTCCTTTTATCTTTAGATAATCACATCAATTCAATGTTTAACTGCGGTACCTACTGTAACAAATCCATTGTTGGTTGCCAACTGATTATGGTGGCAATCAATGGAATTAGTCACTTAAGTAAAAAGAAAAAGGTCAAGTTAATAAATTGGTTTTTGGTTACTTATCCATATGATACATCACAGACACTTCAAGGTAGAAATCATAATTTTTAAATTGATATTTAAAAAAAAAAATTAAATTTGATTTCTTTAGTTGAAAAGAATCTGGTTTTTTGAATCTTGATCTTGTTATTATATCACTATAATTGTATTATGAGTGCATGATGTGAATATGTTATTTTATAAAGAAATTACAACAAATCTACAATCATCCTCGCGATCATTTTTAAATTGTCAAATATTCTATATATTTATGTATATAATTAGCATTCTAATGCTTGTAATTGACTAGATATTATCTTGCTTACTTAGCCTTGTAGGTTAGAATTATTAGTATATTTCTCTTAATAGTCCAGTTTAATAAATCTCCATGGTTATTAAAACAGATTTGTCAGAGATTACTTTGGTAATCCCAATTAGGATAAAAGCAGTTCAAATAAAGTTGGTGGTTAAAGAAAAACGGAGTAAAGTTTCTAAAGTTGCTTTCTTTTTCTTTTTTCTTTTTTTAGTTGTTTCCCTTGTCAATGTTTTGTTATACTCTCTGTCTCTGTCTCTGTCTCTGTCTCTGTCCGTCTCTCTCTAGTCTCTCCCCTTTCACTTTGATATATTTTCCTCCCCCTTTATTCACGCCGCTCTCACTTCCAATTTCACACTTTCTTTCTCTCATTTTTTAGACCAAAACAAGGAAAACCAAACTCCTTACCTCAATTCTCCATTTTCTAACACAATCACCACTTGCTTCGTATTCTGTTCTGTTTCTTTCAAAGAATTGAAAACAGAACAAGAAAGAAGAAGAAGAAGAAGAAGAAGAAAAAGAAAATGTCTGAATTTTCTTTATCCACAAAAACATCCAAGAAAATACACTTCTCAAGTCTTCTCCTCTCGGACTTATTCTCTTTTTGTTCTTTCATTTTGTCTCATCCTCTATATTTCTTTTATTTCATTTTCTTGTCTCCTTATTTCTTCAAGATTCTCTCGTTCCTATCTCCTCTCTTTATTACTACTTTCCTTTTGCTCTTAGTTCTCCTTACTGTATCTCCAAATCTTGTTCTTGAAAATTGGAGCACTGAATTGTCAGAATCGAAAGTAAGCTTTGCACTTGGAGCATATCAAGCTGTTGTAGAGAAATTGCGGTCTAAAGTAAATGAAGATGTGAATCATAAGGAGATTAATCAATTTGAGGAGTTAGAAGTGTATAAAATTGTCTTTGATACATCTAATATTGATTTTGGAGAACACCTAATTGAAGATTCTGAGCCAGAAGTTGAAAAAAACTGCTTAGCAAGCATTGAAACACAAGTCAGTGCTAAGGTTGAAAAAAATTCAGTTGTGATTACAAGGCTAGAAAGTTCTGAGTCGATAATGGAAGAGAAAAGATTAGGAGTCTCCATGCATCAAAAGAACAAGTTTGAAGAATTCTCGCGCCAAAAGGAAGAAAAAGAAGTCAAGCCACTAAGTGAGAATTCCAATAAAGTTGAAGAACAGAAGGAAGAAATGTATATAAGCGGATCCAAGGCACTGAGTCATTTACTAAGCGACAGTAAAGTAAGTGGTAATGATGATGATAACAGAGAGTACATTTCAAGAATGAATTCTCAAAGATCAGAAACAAATTCTTGGAGTCCTGAGTACAATTCCAAGGTTGCTGATAATTATCAGACAATGGGATCGAATCTTGGGAGTTTCGGATCAATGAGGAAAGAAAAAGAGTGGAGAAGAACATTAGCATGCAAGCTTTTCGAGGAGAGACACAATGCAGATGGAGGTGAAGGGATGGATTCACTTTGGGAGACATACGAGACTGACTCCATTAAACTGCAGGCAAAAAGCAAATCAAAGAAAGGAAAGAAAGGGAGCATGGAGAATTATTACAATGGTGAAAATGAGGAAGAGGAAGAAGAAGATGAGAGTAATGCACAACTATGCTGCTTGCAAGCACTCAAGTTCTCAGCTGGGAAGATGAATTTGGGAATGGGAAGACCTAATCTTGTTAAGATCTCCAAAGCCCTAAAAGGTATTGGATGGTTGCACAATGTAACTAAGCATGGAAAAAAGAGTTACTATTAGTTTAATTTAATAAGATTTTTACTTCTCTTAATTAAAATTATGTGGATTTTGTTTCAAGAATCACAAAGTAAATATGTTATAATACTTATATTTTGCATTCAGTTCTTGCTAAAAAGCTGCTGATATTAATTTTCGGAGGATGTGATGTGGTGGGTTGAGTGTAGATGGCCAGTGGGAGCTCTTATGTTTAATAAAAATCAACAATCATATGGCTCAAAGAAAATGCTTTGGCGTTGCCATGAAAATTATTGATTCACTAAAGTTTACCCACTTTTGAAGAAATGTGTAGGGTGCCCTTCACAAATGTCACGTCACATGGGGGATGTTGTGATTCATAGCAAGCCTATAGAGGAACTCAACTGATTTATCTTCTATCTTCAGTTGTTAATTATTAGTAAATAAATATCTTCAGCTGTCATTGTGATGGCATCCTAGGTGTTTTATTTTTGGTTAATTATTTGCATTTTGCTTCCAAATGATGCATGATTGAAAAAAGAAAAAGTTTAGTACATGTCTTGATGGCCTAAAAGAAAAATCACTCATCTTCCTAACCTACAATGCAAAGAATCTCAGCCTAGGCAAAATCATTCTTAGAGTATATACAGAGCGATCAGCAGAATGAAAATAAAAATTTCATATATCCGATTTCAATTATCTTAGAGTTAAAACTTGCTGTATTTGACTATTTCATTACACAAATATAGTACCAGAGCGTTTCTTATGAATCAAACTATGAATTCTGCCAAGGTAGGTATAATAGCATTTGAAGGCTTTGAATGGAAAAAGTAATGAAGGCCTCAAAATTCTGTTTGGTTTCCATTTCAAGAAAAACATCAATGTCTACAGCAATTTGATAAGAAGCTCTACCTGAAAAACAAAGGAAAAAGGGTTCCTAAATTAATTAATGCTAAAGTCGCCAGATTCCAACTGTTGGAAATATATGATATTAGGTAAGGTAAGGTGAAAAACAGCTAAGGGTTTGCTTTTTCTTAATAAGAAAGAAGGTTTTTACCGTTGGAATTCATAATCTATCAATATTTTAAGTGGCGAGAAGATCAATTCAAAAATATTTTTCTATAAATTATTTAACGGAAACAAAAGAAAATAGTTTCAATTTTTTTGTATAAGTAGATATAAATTAGGATTATGATAGAAAGCATCCCAATCATATTGATTGAAGTACGTAGTTGTGAAAGAAAACACGATACTAGTTTATAATTTTAAATTATAAATAACTACTTTTTATCATCATTAGGATTTTGTGGAACAAAACATACTTGGAGCTTTAAGAATTCACTTTATTAGGTTTTTCTTGGTCATGGGTCAAAAATTAATTAATTAATATTACTTAGCTAGTAACTTATAGTTGAGTTATATTTTGTTAATGATTTGCTCCTAAATTTTTTTTTTTTTTTGGTCCATTTCAATTGAAATAGCCTATTCTAACATCTAGTCAAAAATAGGTAATTAGTTAAGAGTATTTTTGCACTTTGAAATCATTTGATTCTATTTCCATGCATATTATATAGTTTTAATAAAGATATTGCCGACAAAAGAAAACTTATGCAAATTATTACAATAATAATTTTTAAGGTCCTTTTTAACTCTTTTTATTTCTAATTTGTACATGTATTTCTATGCTCGGATAATTCTTTTAGCGGTTACAGACTTAAAAAAAAAAAATTGTTTCTTTTGATAATTAATGTAGGTTAGTTGGTCCATTTTTATTGACATAAATGTAGCTATGTAGTTAGGATAAGTAATGAGTTAGAATGATTTTTCTATTCCATTTCCATGATATCACAAGTTAAATTTCTGTCAAAAAGAAAAGTGATATTATGAGATAAAAAAAATTTTGTATGCTAAATTTCCTTTTCTAATAACAAAATTCTCTCTCTTTCATTTTCTTTATAATAAATGGCATTACAAATATGGAACCAATTAATTAATATGGTTGGGTGAAAGTTTTATGTTGCAGTTGTCTTAAAGCTATAAAAACAGGAAAGGAGTGGAGAGAGAATTTTCAATGTCTATCTTCAATTCAACTGAAAATATAAATTTAACAGGATATTTATATATACATAATTAATATTTACTTATAATTTAATTGTATTATTCTTTTATCCATTTCAATTGTAGCTTTAGAATTTTTCCCCATTTTAAAAGATTGAGAGATCATTAATTATTTTTTAAAATTTTTATTGTAGGATGATTATAAATTCTGGTCCATACTTTCTAAAAATTACTATAAAATACGAATTTAAAACTTTTGATTAAGGAGAAGAATAACATTAATTACTTATAGATTTGAGAGATCATTAATTATTTTTTCAAATTTTATTGTAGGAATGATTATAAATTCTGGTCCATACTTTCTAAAATTACTAATAAAATACGATTTAAAACTTTTGAATTAAAGGAGAAGAATAACATTAATTACTTATATATATATATATATATATATATATATATATATATATATATATATATTATGTAAAATAGAAATAATTTGTTGGAAGAATATTATGTAAAATAGAAATAATTTTGTTGGAAGAGTGACAGGAAATATTTTATTATAATATAAAATGTCTACGAATTATCTCACACCGACACCATCAATATTTATTATATGAATCCCGCGTTTTTTCCAGTCTACAAGTGGCAGTGGCACACAACAATTACCGAACTGTCATCAACTTAAAAACTAAAACCACAGATCTCTTGGGCCCGCATAATTTGACGGTCGAGATCAGTTTATGGAATATTATACTGATAAAAACACCGTAATATCTCTCTATCAATCTCTCCTTCTCCGGAAGAAAAAAGAAAGCCGCTGAAAGTGAGAGCCAATAGGAGGAGAGTGAGAGCTCTCGCTTTTCTCTATCTGGCCGTTTTATGATTCTATAGTGTTTTTGCCTTTTACGTTCTTTCGTTCGAAGGGAAACAGCACAACAATGGCGATTTATCGAAGCTCGAGAAGTGGATTAATGCGCAGTTTTAGTTTGTCGTTTAGAGTGTTGGCCTCCGCCATTACCATTGCAGTGTTTCTCTTCTTCACTGTCTCTTTCCTCTTCACTTCCCATTCTCACTCTTCTACAGACCTTCACCACTTTGTAAGTTATACATTCTCTCTCTCGATCTAGTTTCAGTTTTTCTTTCCTTTCTCGGGAAACAAACAAGATCTAGTATGAACTCTATTGTAAGTTGAATTAAAATGTTATTTTTTTTAAATTCCGGGATAAGAAAAGCCTAGGACAAAAGCATGTTTGCTTACAGATCTTAAAATTTTCTGTTGATTAATTTCCACATTTATTTTTTTTTCTCTTAAGCATAATTAGGATTGGCATTTTTGTTTACAATTTTTTTTATTGTTTTTACTGTTAGGGTTTCAAAAGCATACCTTCTAGATTCGGATCAGGGAGAAGATCCGTTCTTGCACTGAAATCGGATCCGCTGAAGCCTCGGTTGGATCAGATCCGAAAGCAAGCTGACGATCACCGATCTCTCGCTCTTGCTTATGCATCCTATGCCCGGAAGCTTAAGCTTGAGAACTCCAAGCTTGTTAGGGTCTTTGCTGATCTTTCTCGAAACTACACTGATCTGATTAACAAACCCTCGTATCGGGCTCTCTTTGAGTCTGATTCTCTCTCAATTGAGGAATCCACTTTGCGACAATTTGAGAAGGAAGTGAAAGAGAGAATCAAACTCACGCGCCAAGTAATTGCCGAGGCAAAAGAAAGTTTTGACAATCAGTTGAAAATTCAGAAGTTAAAAGATACAATTTTTGCTGTTAATGAGCAATTAACTAAAGCCAAAAAGCAAGGGGCTTTCTCGAGTTTGATTGCTGCGAAATCAATACCTAAGAGCTTGCATTGCCTTGCTATGAGGTTGATGGAGGAGAGAATTGCTCATCCTGAGAAATATTCCGATGAAGGGAAGGCACCAGCACCTGAATTGGAGGACCCAAAGCTTTATCATTATGCTATTTTCTCAGATAATGTCATTGCTGCATCAGTGGTGGTGAACTCGGCTGTGAAAAATGCAAAAGAGCCGTGGAAACATGTTTTTCATGTTGTGACTGATAAAATGAATCTTGGGGCCATGCAGGTTATGTTCAAATTGAAAGATTACAATGGGGCGCATGTTGAAGTGAAAGCTGTTGAGGATTATAAATTTTTGAATTCTTCCTATGTGCCTGTACTCAGACAATTGGAATCAGCAAATCTGCAAAGGTTTTACTTTGAGAATAAGCTTGAGAATGCAACCAAGGATACTACAAATATGAAGTTTAGGAATCCCAAGTATCTGTCAATTTTGAATCACCTGAGGTTTTACTTGCCTGAAATGTATCCAAAGTTGCACAGGATATTGTTTTTAGATGATGATATTGTGGTGCAGAAGGATTTGACTGGGTTGTGGAAGATCGATATGGATGGCAAGGTGAATGGGGCAGTGGAAACTTGTTTTGGGTCTTTTCACAGATACGCACAGTATATGAATTTCTCACATCCTTTGATTAGGGAGAAGTTTAATCCGAAGGCATGTGCTTGGGCATATGGGATGAACTTCTTTGATTTGGATGCATGGAGGAAGGAGAAGTGCACAGAGCAGTATCATTATTGGCAGAATCTGGTAAGATAGCATTATTTCTCTGTTAATTGTGTCATGCTATGTTTGATCATCTCCTTTTCACATGCATAGTTTTTCGGGTACTTAGATTTAGAGTAGACGTTTCACTATATCTTGTTGTGTTCTGACATTAACAATGTTGGAAACCGTCTTTACTTCTTGTGTTGCAAAAGACAGTCACTGAATTTGTAATGCTGCTAATGTTGCAGAATGAGAACCGAACCTTGTGGAAACTGGGGACATTGCCACCAGGTCTAATCACATTTTATTCAACAACAAAACCACTAGACAAGTCATGGCATGTTTTGGGGCTTGGATATAATCCAAGCATAAGCATGGATGAGATCAGCAATGCTGCAGTGGTGCACTTCAACGGTAACATGAAGCCATGGCTAGACATCGCGATGACCCAGTTTAAGCCGCTCTGGACAAAGTATGTTGACTATGAAATGGAGTTTGTCCAGTCATGCAATTTTGGTCTCTGATTAAGCAGTGGTTATGCCAGTTCTGGTGTTGCAGCAGGAAAAAAAGTCAAATCTTTTGAAGTCTCTAGTTATTTGTTACACGCAGTCATCACCAATTACTTGTGCTTCATCAGTTAACCTGGAAGCAAATCAGCATCTTTTCAAGTGTAGCATATTTTACTTGGGTTAAGTCTAGATTTCTTTTTCTTAATTTATACGTGTCATGCAACTAAACTTTGTTGTATTTGGCAAATGTAGCTCTTAAGAAAATGGTTATAGCATTCAAGAAATTTGCAACTGTTATGGTAAGCTGAGGGTTTTGATGAAACTGGAAAGGAGTTGCCGATATATAATCGTGTTGGGTACAACTAAAGGTGGAAATAGTTCAAATTGCTTTTATGGGCTGATTTATGAGAAACAGTGATCAAAAGCTAAGCTGAAGTTCAAAGTTAATGCAAAAGCAGACAAATTATTTTGTAGTCATGTTCCAAAATAAATATCAGTAAGGTTAAATTTGAAAAGGTCTACTTGAAGCCAACCTGAAGGATTCAATTCAAACAACGTTTGTCAACTCACATAATATGAAAACGTGAAAGGCAATAATGATGATGTCTCACCCACAACAATACATAAAAAATAAGGTCAACTTGCCCATGTGTGAATAAAATAAAATTCCGAGTAGAATACAAGCCAGCCCTCGTCCACACCTAATAAGATCCAACCCTACTCAGTAAAAATATCGCTACTACTGGAACCATTGGAAGGATTTTACGAAATATGAGAGAAATCAAGCCCGGACAATTTTTCATAAAGCTTAAGGGTTAAAACTATAATGCACTGAAACATTTCTGCTATCCACCGAAATGACTTCTTGTCAAGGAAGAATGGACAAAAAGTCGAGAAAGCAATCCTTAAAATAAAAAAAATCTTAAACAAAAATTTCAGAAAGCTCATCTGTAGAACTCTATGATCTCGTTTAGTGCTATTAAATCAATCTGATAAACTAATGAACACAAAAATATATTTAATCACTCCCAAAAACCAACTTTCAAGTTACAGATCTTCAAGCAGTAGCAGAAACTCGTGGTGCTGTGGTTTTAGCCGCAGCATTAAAAGTCAATCCACCAGCTCGGTTTGCTCGGCCACCGTTGCTCCCCATCTTATCAGCCCTTCGATATCCTTCACCTCCACGGTTTGAATACCCACCCCGGTTACCATTCCTATTTCCAAACTCTGTCCTGTTATTGAAATCACCACGGCCGTAGGTTTTGTTCCCTCCAAAATTTCCACGCCCTCTTGCTCCCTCGTTCCTATATCCAACCCCTCCTCCAGAAGAGAATCGTCCCCTATTGTTCCCTGCAGATCAAGTCGCTTTTGAGCAAAAGAAATAGGCAGAAACAGAAAAAGTAGTAGGCAAATAGTCCATAAAATGGCACACAGGGTTTTCTTTTGTCCACCCGCCTTGAAAAGAATCAAACAAAATTTCAGCGTTCATCAATTAAGTAACAAATTTCAGGGGCAAAAGCCTCATTAGATAACAAAACTACTCAAAACAACTTCACAAGATTGCTTCCCATCCTCCTAGCATGTGAGGAAAGAAAAAAAGAATTCGTAATGCTACTACCTAGTACCACATGCTTCCATATCTAGCTTTCTGTGCATCACATAACCTCCTTAGTTCAATGCTAAGATCTTTATTTATACCAGACATAGACATTATTCATTCAATAACATTTTCTTCCAAACGGTTTGCAACTGGTACATCTCCTAGTCATAAACTTAGAATTTATTATTCTACTAGGTGACAGATACAACTTAAGAAACATGTTCTGATGTTCATCCCTTATTGGATTAAAACCCACAATTTCTACTGCACAGTTCTTAATCTGACAAAAAACCTAACTTCTATATTAAATTGAAGATCTTGAACTATATGAATATGGTTGCAATTTTGGTAACTCAAACTATTGCTCACATATAATGTTTGTGAAATAAATAAAGTTCATAACAACTTTATCGAGTGAATTTTTTTATCGTAAAAACCCAAACTTACCTCGAGTAGATCTCTTTTCCTCAACAACAACCCGGCATCCATTAATCATGATAGGAGAAGCCTGAAAAATCAGCAATAATATGACTCAAAAAATAGTTTAGAGAAATACATTAATGAAAGAATATTAGATCAAGAAAGTCAAAAGTAAATGCAACACTAAGTTCTATTTTATCATATGTAACTATGTAACCATCAGCTACCTAAACTAAGAAAAGAACAACTCAGAGAATAAGACCTTTTGTTTCGAAGGTCTGACAAGTACATAATCAACAGTGGGGGACAAGCAATCACACTATTCATAATGGAACAAAGATATAACTGCCTCAAATAACAGTGAAAGAGAGTTGAAAAGAATGCCAAAAAAAATGTAAAACCAATCTATAATTTACATTCATCACCACTTTGCTTCCACTTATTTCAACTAAAAACTCAATTGGATTCAAGTCTCACATATTCAAATACCAAGAAGTAATTTAATTAAGGACTTCGTAATCTGGGACTGATTCTTCCTTCAAATCTCAGGCACATATTAAGGTTATTGTTCACATTTTATGGAAGAATCATGCAACAGAAGTTCAAAAGAGTTTTGGTATGGAATGTTAGAGAGATTGCAGCGTAAAATTGCATGTTGCAGTCATAATCAAGTGGTTAAGATGGTAGGCATAGTAATTAACAACTTCCAGAAGAGCATTTACAGACCAAACAAATCCGTTGGTAGTATGGGTGGCAGCCATAGTCCTACTAATAGAATTGTTGATGATGAACTACAAATGCCCTTGTAAGTTATGACAAATATTCAGCACGAACAATGATTCTTATAAGTTCACATATACAACTTTAATCACTGTTTGGGATTAATTATCAACCAAACACTTAGTACCTAATGAAGCTGAGAAACAGAGATCCTTTATTTTCCATTTTATCCAACGCAGAACCGCTAAATCCTCGACTATTTCTTTTAAAAAAAAAATCAACTACCTTTCACAAAGCATATACAATAATACCAAAATAACCAAGCCCAATGTACTAATCAAATAAATAATTCGAAGTAGTCTCCATAAGGTAACATCATTTTGTCACAGTTAACCATTAATGCCAAGAAAATTCTATAAAACCTTCACACATACCTTCAACTAAGTCTATTCAATTTGACCTCTTTTTGAGAAATCAAAATATACATTCAGTTTTCTCCCCCCCCAAAAAAAAAAAAAAAAAAAAAAAAAAAAACCCAAAAAAAAAAAAAAAAAACAAAAAAAAAAAAAAGAGATAGCAGGAAGAAAGCAAAACCAATGCATTCTGTTTCGAATGTACCAAAAGTGCAAACGCAATCAGTGCCTTCACCTTAAATCCTGGCCCCTTCCTCCATTCAAGCACTTTGAACTTTAACTTTAATCGAAAAAAAGTGACGTCATTTCACAGCTGAAAAATTATTTTAGCAGCATACAGCTCAAAACAGCAACTATAACTTGACAAAGATCACATGTTGGCAACAGCCGACCGCTTGGCCACCCCCACCCCCAACCCCTTCCAAAAAAAAAAAAAAAAAAAAAAAAAAAAAAAGAGATAGAGAAGAAAAGAAAACCAATGCATTCTGTTCGAATGTACAAAGTGCAAACGCAATCAGTGCCTCACTTAATCCTGGCCCCTTCCCTCCATTCAAGCAACTTGAACTTTAAACTTAATCGAAAAAAAAGTGACGTCATTTTCACAGCTGAAAATAATTTAGCAGCATACAGCTCAAAACAGCAACTATACTTGACAAAGATCACATGTTGGCAACAGCAGACCGCTGGCCACCCCCACCCCCACCCCTCCAAATTTTAAATTTTTATTTTTTTAAATTTACCTTATAAAATATAGAACAGTTTACCTTCTACCTATAAAACAGTGATTTTTTTGGTGTCACCCCCTCTAAATGTTGAAAAAATTTTTTTGCCCCCTCTAATTATTTTTTCTGGTTCCGCCACTGCAGGTTGGACTATAAGATATTCAATTCTACTTAACTGAGCCCATCAAAATGCCATCAGACACATTTTAGTAGTGAAAGAGAAGTTATCCTGCACCATTATGCTATCACCTACCTCATCTTTTTATAAAAGTTGTCCCATGAGACAGTACATAGTATCAACATTCGGTGTCTCAATGTTGTGCCACTCAAGTATCACTCGTGCAAAATGCAATACTAAACTGGCCATAGATGTGAACAACTGAGTACCATGTCACTACATGTGCCCTCAATTCAAGTAAAATATGTGGTATGGATCTTATTTTTAGAAAAGTAAAACAGATATTACGTAATTGAGAATTTTAATTCAAAAAAAAAAGAAAAAATTGAATGCACATTTTCTTTTCTTTTCTTTCCCAAAAAAGAAATCAGTAATATCAATGAATTATTAACAGACATCAAAAATTTGAAAAACAAAATCCATGGAATGGTTACACATGGTAAATTTACAAAAGGATTCATATCCACAAAGATATTCCCAAGACAAGGTACTTTATTTTTCTCTCTCCATTATCCAAAATGAGTTAAAATAATGATATCTAAATCAAGAAACAGGACAGTTGATCTGCATATAATCACAATAACATAAAAAAAGGTACAAGACATGGAAGAATGTCATACCTCTATGGCACTTTGTACAGCACTTACCACTTCAAATTCCACAAAGCCAAAGCAAAACCCCTGTAGTACAAATAGATTTTAAGAACTAACTAAAGGTCCAATAAATAATGAACGATACCAAAAATTGAGTTGTCTCGCACCTTTTGACACCTAACTTGAATCCCACCAGTCCTAATAGGTCCAAACTTCTTAAACTCACTATCAAGTAGAGCATGTGTAGCATCCAAAGGTAGACCTTTTACATAGATTGAAGGACCCTCAGCTGTAAATGAAAAAGTTAAATAAGCATATTAGATGAGTTATTAAATACATCTCTATTGTATGCACTAGTAGTTGAATATAATATACAAATGGATAAAAGATGTTTTGTCAAGCAAAGAAAAAACAAGCACAATAAAGCATTAAACACCTTCACCCTCCTGGGCATTCCCATTTTCAGTAGCATTTGAAGTGGAGACATGTGTCTCAGATGCCGCAGTAGGAATAACTGCAGCAATTACTTGTTCTTGACTCTTTGGTGTAGATCTGAGAGGAGAAGGGGCAGGGCTTGAAAACGGCGCAGCATTCTCCTTCATAACTTTCACCTAGAATGAAATATGAAGCATTCTAAAGATATAAAGGCCAATAATAGAATGCAAACACAGTCAAAATAAGGAAATCAAGTGCTGCAACTTTCAACAATTACCAGTTAAAACCAGACATAAGCTACTAATGCAATATAACAATCTGCAAAAGAATTCAGAAGAATAGCAATGCAATTACATAAAGGCAACTTACAATGGAGGCATACGACTTCTTTGGCACTTCTTCAATCTTAGAACTAGATTCAGCAACTATCTGTGACTCAGTAACCATCTGAGCATCATCAGGAATTTCATCGACAACTTCAGGCACTGGTTGTTCCTCTTCTTCAATTGAACCATCCCCATTCTCAGATGGGTCATAGACTTCCTCCCCATTGGCTTCCTCAGATAAAGCAATTGGTTGCTCAGAAATGTGATTTTCTTGTACAGAAGGGAGATCTGGAAAGGTTAAAAAAAAAAACCCATCAACATGAAGACACTAAAGAGCTGTGTATTGAAAATGCAAAGAGCATTCCTGTTACCCTGGCCTGGATTAACTGGAGCTTCAACAGTGTTAAAAAAACCAAGAGTTCCATTTTGATTCTTGGCATCATCAACATAACGGAAGACATCATTCAAAACATAATAGCCTTTGTCTTGAGGTGCCAAGAAGAAACTCTGAGCAAATTTCTGCCGTAAATTATCTTTTCCAGTCAAATACCCTGTCACGAGGACAAGGACTCCTCCATTGTATGATTCTTGTGAGTCAACTGTAGTAATTTCTGCTCTGAACTCGTCATAATTAAGTGAAAGTATCTTCTCATTTATGGCCTGCCTCACAAAAATCAGTCAAACACATAAAGCATCACAAGTTCAACGATGACTCGTATTTGGTAGGCAATTGATAAGCACTGACACAAGGAGCACAAGACCCATAATATAATCATGTATTTAATAAAGGGCATTAAAGAAAAGCCCAATTCCCATCATATTCCCTAATATCATATTTAGTTGCTGTAATGAGAAGTTGGTCAAAATTTTAATTTCCAAGATCAAGTAAACAAAATCTAACTTGTCTGGCAATTAGTTAATTCAAATTCTTTCTTTAGACATAATAAGCAAATATTAGAAAGAAATTTTTTATTTTAGCATTCTTTTTTCCTTTTACTTTCACAAACAAAAGTGCGCTGTGGTCGTGTAAAGTGAAGGAGAAATTACATGCATGGTAGTTGTGGTACTCATTATCCCACCCTCCTCTGGACGACCAAGCCTACTGACATCCTGGTAAAATCGGTGCACAAGTTCTGGCGATTGATGCAAGATCAGGTAGTACTGGTGAACAAATGCGTTACCAACCTAAATCCACCACGAACTCCAATTAGAACTATATTAAAGGGAAAGAAAAAGCTCACAGAAAACAGCACATATACTATATGTATTGTCTAAAGAATCATACAACATCAGGAGGAACTGTGGCTTGCTGGACTGATGCCGCCATTAATGTTGAAATTCCTGAAAATCAAACAAAAACCTAGTCAAACCTCCAAATTACTATCTAAAAACACAATATGTTTAAATATTTGGGAAAGACTTCGAAATTCAAAAATAATAATAACATTAACAAGCTAATTGAGAACCATCTAAAAGAAACACGACAATAGCCTTGAAGATATAATAAGAGTTTTCCTCGGAAAATCCTTTCTCGAAAAATAAAGAGCTCAAAAAAAAAAAAAAAAACCATGTTACTGGCTACCTTGCTTCAAATCATGAATAAAAAGAATTTAACTATAAGGTATCAGTTTACACATTATGTTCAGTAAGTACTAAGTGAAACATCTTCGTTTACTCTACAATCCATAACCGAAGAAAAGATAAGTTAAGAGATAAATTTTGGCCAAAGCATATGCAAATAAAATAAGCGAAGAGAAAATGGAGTACCTGAGCTCAGATTTGGATCCGAGAAAGATAGCAAGCGAATGAGGTGAGAGAAAGATGGTATTGGCTCTGCTACTTGCTCTTTCTTTCTCTCACCTCCGTTTAAGAATGGAGGTTTTTTAGGGTTTTTCTGGATCTTTCAGAGGCGCGAGAATGGAAATGGAAGGTGAAAAAATAGAAGGTATAAAGGAGGGCTTTGGAGCCTTTTATAGGAGGAATTTGGAGAAGGTTTTCTGTCACCAATGTGTGTGAGAGGTTTTCTGTACTACATATAGATAAACGGTGGAAATACTTTCAAAATATTGTTTTCTTTTTTTTCTTTTTTTTCTTTTTTTTTCTATGGAAAGCTTGCATATATAAAATAAATGACAAATTTCATGAAATAAGTATTATTCTAAAAATCTTAATATCCTACTAATATTTTTTTTCATTAACTAGTTATGTATTACACATGTCATGATATAAATTTTTATATATCATGTATTCATGTTTTGCGAGGATATTAAATTTTCTATCATTTAAAAAATTGAAAAAATATCATTAACATCTGCTCCACTAAAATAATAATTAAATTAAATTAAAATAAAAAAGTAAAATAGATAGAGATAGGAAGTAACTACTTTTAAAATGAAAAGATTGATGGTATTTAGTAATTACTTTTTAAATAATACTTATTAATGATAGTTATTAACTTTGTTAATTACTAAAAAACTAAACATTTTATTGCTTATTAAAAAAAAAGAAGTTGAAATATTTTTTCAAACCTTAAGGACATTATTGATTTTAATAATTTTTTAAAACTACAAAGATATCTAAAAGGAAACAATTTAATAATTAATTATCTAATTAATTCTTGTAAATTTTATGTTATTAGATTATCCAAAAAAATATAATAGAAACTTAATTTTTTTTATAATGTAAGTTTTAATTTTTTGTATTAGTCTTTTAAAATGTGTGACTTATAGTTAAACTAATTTTTATTTAACTTATGAATATAATAAGAAATTGTATGAGCTTATAAATTATTATATTGTTAAAGATCATGATAATTATCAAAATTTTATGCGTAACAAAAAGTTTCAAGTTATATACATTTTTACTATTTTTTTATATTGAAAAAATGGAATTCAAACTTGAATCAATTGTCAGGTCGTATATGCATTTACCATTAACTATGCCTTAGTGTGCTATATACATTTTTACTATTGGATGAAAATAAAAATTCTATTTTAAAATAATAAAATATAATACTTATGAGTTGTAATTCGGTTGACAACGTAGGCTGGATACGCGTGAAGAACTCTCGGTTCAATCAGGAGGACAATAAATCTTAACTGACTAAACGCAGCCAAATTAAACCATCCCTGGTAATCACATTCAAATAGTTGAGTTCGGTTTGCTTTGGTTTGATAATGTTGAATACAACTGTGGTTTTAAATGAGAACTCTTCAGTTGGGCTTGGATCCCAAGAACAGTGCACAGGCCTGGCAATAACGATGAAAAACGTCATGACGCCAAACGTTGATTTCTAACTGCTCATCCAAACGCCCTTTTAATTTCTTGTATCGAAACGACTTTCCCGTTGGATATTTGCAGGTGTTTTTTGTTGATTTAACTTTCAGCCCAAGTCCACTGAACTAATGCACAAAGTAATGCATATTTCCAATATAAGATTCAAATAAAATTTTCAGATTATTTTCATTCATTGCAGGGTTGAGTTCAGATTATACTCATCCACTTAAATTCATTATTTAAATGCAAAAAATAATTATACTTTATTAATTAGATCTTAAGAATTATTATTGTTGATACTAAGTTTTATTAAACTTGAATTTAGCTCGTTTACATATTATAATAATAATAAAAAATACCACAGACAGATGAAAAATTCTACATTACAAAAAGATACTGATTCATTAATCATATAACAATTTTACTTTTGAAAAGTCAAAAGTTGGCATCTGTAAGTCTGTAACTTTGTATCAAGTATTAACAATGTCTTGACCCTACACCAACCAGGCCAGGGCCATTTACAGCTACTGAAAATTGTATTTTTATGATAATGAGGGGTGTCAGGTAGTAACTTTCAGGAATTTTAATGTACCACAAACTAGCCAAATCAGAAAATTATTAAATACCTGACCTAAATGTCAAATATTCCCAGTATTAATTTGTTAATGCAGTTAGAGAATAGCTAAAGAAGAAATGACTCTGTCTCCTCCTACCATTTGCCAGGAAGATTTCCTCTAACTCAAAATGTATATATATACACCTTGTCATGGGCTAGAATTAAAAGAAAGAAAAGAAAAAAGGGAACGACCATTGCAAATGCAAAGTCAAAAAGCTGAAGGAATCACAGTAATGTGCTTTAGAGGATGTGAAACATCGGTGCCTCCTGCATGCTGCACGAACTCGGCCGGCGAAAATGAACTTCCATGGCAAACACAAATGATGCTAACTTCTGTTTTTGTATATCTATACAGGAACCCATTAATGGTTCTCCCATTCGGACCATTCCCTGTCGTTGAAACGCAAGGCATGGAAGGCAAGGAAGAGTTGCTGTGGTTCAGTTTTTGAGGCTTAGGAGGCTTGCCTAAATCTGTTGATTTGCTTTTCATCAATGGAGTTGCGAATCTTTGATTAGTAGGACTGGTTTCTTTTTCAATTTTAGCTTCTCCTTTAGGTTCAGTTGATGAAGATTGAATCATTTTGTTTTCAACTTGAGCAGCTTCTATGAGCTCAGAGGTAGCACTGTGTTCAGACTGGCCTTTGGCTTCCTTTGCTTTTGAATCATTCAATTGAGGTTGTTCTGGTACTGAGGGACTTGAACGACTTCTTGTGTCGCTGCTACCACCTCCTGTTAAATAACAATGCCACAAGCTCAATAAATTGATTCATCTTCTTACATACTGTAAATGAGTTGGCTGAAATTGAAAAGAAAAAACCGACTTTTCGGTTTCGGTGCATTAACTAACAATATGGGTATGTTTCAAATTTGTGGTTGCTATTAGTTGCTGTCAACTAGCAATTAATAATCAAAATATAATTTTAGGTAGCAATTAGAAGCCAAAGACTGACCTAACACCCACAAATCTTAACTTCTATTAGCTCCCATTATAATGCTAGATCATGAAACTTTCCAAACACACTAAACAAGTCATTAGAAAGTACTTAAAACCAAAATTGCAGGCAATTTCCTACTGCAACAAAGATTGAAATTATACTTATAACAAGTACATAATCGAATTTCCTAAACTTTGATTATTTCCTAAACTTTTTTTCTTTCTGTGTCCTCCTAACAGTTTAATCCTTTGAACATAAAAACAATTCACCTCGAACAAACCAATAAATGATAGGATTTTCCAATAATATAATTCTAATAATCACATGGAAAAGCAAATTACTTTCAAGTAAATGATCAAATACCTTCATTAGAAAAGCTCCTATGGTCCGAAGACGTAGAGGAAGCACACATCGGTGACCCATTAGACCCATCTTTCTTATTCCCATTATCCCGGCTGCCATTCTGCTCTGAATCATAACCACTGCCCAAATTATGACCCGGATCCGAAGCCGCCTGAAACGGCACGAATCCATAGCTAACCACCGATTGGACCTGAACCACATTCCTTTCCTCTCCAGCAGTGAACCAACAAGGCATTACATTTACATTTGCACAAGGATAGACAAACCCATTCGTCGGCGGACCATACTGCAACGGCGGGTGGGCATATTGCACGGGTAAAACCGTCGGGTGCACAGGCGACGAAGTACATGCCATTGGATAAGGAGTACCGTTATATTGGTCGACATTCAAATTTAGATTCACTTTCTTTCCGTCGATACGTTCAGATCCAATATTTTCTGTTTTGCTTTTCTTGCATTCTCGCTCTTCCATTTCACCATCTCTGTCGACTTGAGATTGAGAAGCTTTCACCTTTAAAAACATTTCATTGTTGTTACTAACATTATCTCCGTTAATCACTTGAATTCCGTTAAAATATGCTCTACAAACCCCACCCTTCTTTAACTGTTTCTCTTCTCTTTTCTTCTTCGCTTCCTGTCTTCTTAACGCATGAATCTCCCGTTTCTTCTTTGGATCCATAACTAAATGCCCAGAATCTCCAATAAAACAAGGAGACACATTAGATCTTATGCAAGTTGATTGCTTTTCTCTTGAACCCATATCAGCAGTAGTATCAGATCTCGATTCGCTACCGTTTTGCCTTTTGTAGCTCCCTCCTAGAGATAATCCTAACTCTAACTCTATCTCTTCTTCTTTCAAACCTGTGTTTGTCTCCATTTCGCAATAATTGCTTTCCATTGAAACAGCTCAAAATGACTTTTATAGCAACATGAAGAAAACAGCGAGATGCTTCTAAATGACTCGTTTTTTTTCTATTTGTTGTGTTGTGTTTCGGGTTTCAGGTTTCTGCGGAGACGGGGAGAGAGAAAAAGAAAGAAGGAAATGGAGAGGTTTGGAGGAAAGAAGATGCCACGTGTCGAAACAAGAGAAGAGTAAAAGTCGGTTCCTGACACGTAAGCGAAATTTGGCTTATTTTTGAAGAAGCGTCAAGCAAGGTTACACCACTAATTCCTAATTAATCGCTAATTAAAGTGTTTTGATTTTAGCGGGAAACCGGTTTTTCTTTTTGTTTTTGTTAATTAGCGTTTAATAGGTATCCTTTGATCTTACGGTGCGCGCTCCAACGTTCTAAAACCGCCACGTGGATTCGTCGCAAGAATAGCTGAGGACATGACACGTTTTCAGTTTCACGCTCTTGTTATGAGAAGAACAGCCGTGTGGTCTGACACTCTGGTAAGCAGATACGGACACGTGGTGCAAGATCTTGCTGTCCCTGAGAATCTCCACCGTCTTTTTCACTAATACAGATGCGAAGGGCTCAGAAGCTGTACATCCATGTGTGATTTTGACACGTGTACAGAATTCTCAACGTGGGCCCTATACGAGTGGTTAGGGAGGTTCGTCGATGACACGTGGATTGCATAGGCAACAGAAAACAGTAGAGGCCGATCAAGTTGCTTCACAGTCTCGTCGAGTGATACTGACGTTGCATCGTACACGTGGCGGAAGTGGAGTGGATAAAGATAGGTAAAAACGACACTTGGCGATATAGAGGAGTATGAGGTATTAATGAAGAATGAAGGATGTGGCGACACGTAAGGTTAAAAAAGTGGGCGTATGTGGACCAATACTTTAAAAAGTTTGTTACAGGATGGGAAGATTAGACGGAAAGGCATGCATGAAAGACACGTGTCCAAGCCTTATGCTAGTGGGCAGCGAAGATCACGAGATGTGGTAATATGGATTGGATAGTTGTGGAGATTGTTGAGCATGAAAATGATGCGTTAATTTTTCTCTATTAATTAGTTTGATGATTCTTAATTAGAGATATAAAAAAGTAATGTTAGTTCATAAAATTATTTACCAATTTGATGTTAAATTAAGATTATTTATAAATTTAATATCTATATTGTCACGAAGAGAGAATGTTGATACCAGATCATTCACTGTTATTAAAAGTAAAACATGGAAATAAATTATATATATTAAAATTAATAGTTCAATAATAGATAAACGTTCCATTTATAATACTTTCTCCGTCTACAAATATAAATCATTTAAAATTATTGCATAACAATTAAAAGAAGCAATTAGTTTTCTTATATTTTGACAAAAAATTTATTAATTTACTAAATTATCCTTAAAAATTAGTATAAAAATAATTATTGTATTTAATATAAATAAAAGTAAAATTTTAAAAAAATTATTAATTACTGATTGATATTCTCGAAAGACAGAAAATACAGTTTTAAAATGATTCATATTGTGAATGTGGTTCGATCAAATCATAATCGATAATAGGAGCCCCAAATTAAATCAAGTTTTTTCTTATAAGTTTTAATGTACAAATAGTTTAAATCAAGTTTTTAAATAAGAGTTTTAATGTACAAATAATTGATTAGTATATTTAAAAATAACCTTTTTAAAAGACTATTCAGTAAAATTGAATTTTAATTGATTAATTTTATTATACTTAATATTCATAGTTATTTAATAAATTATTTAATTAAATAAATATTAATATAATAAAATCATTTGATAAAAATTAATTAGTATGCAGTAAAAATTAATAAAATTAAAAAAACTGGTTGGAATTACAAGATAGTCAAAGTTGAAGTTTTTTTTTTTTTTTTTTAATTAGGCCTTATAATAACACATACTCCATTTACAACATGCGATTCTCTTGAATTTAAAACCAACAGATCCCCGGAATCTAATGTACAAAAAATATTCAATATTCAATAACTTATCCTGAATTTTATTAGTGATATCAACATTTATATGAACCATGAAATTAAAATTATACTTATCAAACACTTTGATTTGTGAAAAGTTTTATATCATGATGTTGTTTTTTTTGTGTTGTTTTGCATATTCTAAATTTTAAGTTGGATATGTAAAAAGAATTCTATCAATTTGGATTACATTGGATCTATTTTATTAACATTTCATATCTTGCATATGTAAATGATTTCCCATCTCTATAACCAAATAAAAAAAAAAAAAAAAAGAAAAAAAAAAAAAAGGAATTAGAAAACTGTTTCGTATATATGTGTACGCTAATATAAGATCAGAATTTCTATTCCTATTCCTATTCCATTTCCCAACATTTTCTTCTAAAAAAAAAAAAAAAAAAAAAAAGAATCATGTTACCATTTTCGTGTTCCAAAAAAAAAAAAAAAAAAAAAAAAAAGAATCATGTTCCATTTCGTGTTCCAAACATGACCCAGAAGATTCCTACGTTCCATTTATTGAAGATTTATAATTGGGCAATTTCTACTTCACAATACTTGGAATTAAATCCTATAATTGCTTTATAAAGTTGAAAGAACAGTACTTTTTGTGAAAATTCCTTTTTTTTCCTCTCAATTTTGGGAGAGGATAAACAAGACAACAAGACAAGGACAAAAGAAAGGCAAATGCTAAATGTTGATATATGGAAAACCAGTAATGAGGAAACCAAATGTACATAGTTAAACTCTCCTCAATCTAAAATCAGAATTTTAAACAGGCATTTTCATAACAAGCTGGCCTTCCATGAAACTGTCCAAAACAGAAGGGCCAAAGATTATGCTATAATTAAAATAGACAACAATATATAATTAAAGTGGAATATCAAACAAAAAAAAAATCAAAAATACTATGGCTTACCTTTTGATGTAATAGTAACAGAAATCAGCCAAGATGAATGTTTGAACAATTTCTGCAAGAAGAACCGTTGGAAACCACAAGTACCCACTTCCAATGGAGTACACATACGCACCACGCGTATCGTAAACCTACATTTAGATTGCAACAGACAATAATCAGAAATATTTTTCGATACTGAGGTGTATTTAGTATTTTACTATTTTTATCATTTTTATTCTCAGCGAAAAGATATCGATACCTTTATCGTTTGCCCCAATTACCATTACTAAATTTGTTGAATGCATGCATTTGATGTATTTAAGTACATAAACATGAATGAATTGTAATGCATGTGGAACTACTTTAGATAGTTTATTGTGAACCATGATCCAAGTAAGTACTTCCCAGATTACAAAATCAGAATAGCCTACTTCACTCTATAATGTTCCATCGAATATAAATTAGTAGATGGGCCAGAAGACTCGAACTACATCTGATATGCAATCCTCTTTTTTTTTTTTTTGGTCGTTACCAAACTCTAATGACACACATCAATGGTTGGAACTAGATTTTTAAATTGGATATCCTATGTTTATATATATTGTTCATGAAGTCCCAACATCACTAAACTATAGATCAAAAACAAAGTTCTCACTATGAAACATATTCACATTTCTATTTGGAATACATTAAACACCAAAAAGAAAATAAACTAACCCGGATAATCCAGTGCGCACAGGCTAAGAATCTCGCAACACCCAATGCAAATACATAATGAGATGTAAATGGTTCAATCATCTGAAATTGAATATGAGAACAGAAAAAAAACCTCTTCATTATAGGTTGACAAAAAATGTTGGAAAATTTACAGTAAAAATGGGAGAGCAGACAAAAACCTTTGCATTTTGCATGAGTCGAAGCTGAGGTAGTACTGAGACAGATTCCAAATATACACAGAGTGCCCAACAAATTCTGGCGATTCTCATATGATACATATATGGGTGAATTAGTACAGCAAGAATCACAGAAGGCACGACCTAAACACGGATTGAAGAACACTTGTTTCTGAGCAAGACTAATTAAGTTTGAATCATATTTTCTAGTAATGAACCAAAAAAAAAACATACAGAGAGAATGTCTTTACCAGGTAGTATAAGGGCATATTGTCCAGTTCCTTGATGTACGTTGACTTCAATTTGAACTGTATCATGTATGTAACCCATAGAGTTGAAATTAAAGTGGCAAGATCAAGCAGTGTGTGGATGTTAGCTTCCATTATGCCACTACAAACCAATCTTACGGCCAAAAATAAAGCAGTGAGTTGTTGACTCTTAAGTGAAAGACCTGCACAATCCAATGGAACATAGCTATTGGAATACCCAACACATTTATAATTGACTGTTATAATAATCTTGATGTTAAAAACAAAAACAAATACAAGGGCTCAATAGTGAAAAAAGTAAAATATTCAGTCCTCAATGTGATAGTTTTACATGAAAACTTTGAAGTTTTCGAAGAGATAATTAACTGTCTAGTCTTTGAATTTTAGTTGAAATTATTATTGTATCCTTATTATATAGCAAAATCATTTGTTCTTTCTTAAATATTTAGCCCGTTATATTATTTAATGCTTTTGTTTAAAAAATGTTACTTTTATTGTAAAATACCCTGTAATATTTGTCCGTTACTCCTTCATATTTAATACAATTTTACTATATTATTATTGAATTACAATTTAATCCCTCACTAAATACTAAAAATGATGCTTTTGAACAAAAGACTAATTAGTTAATGACACTAACCTTCAACAGACCTATTCCTGCATCTGGGTACCCGCTTGACCCATCCGACAAAAATACCAGGCCTGGACAAGCTCAAACCTATTTAAGCTGGGCCTGCAATAAGCTTAATTTTTCTTAACTTGGACTAAGTTGGATTTGCAATACCCACCAAAGCCTATAAGTACTCAGATCATTAAAGCCTGTGGTTCCGCAAGCTCCACCAGACTTGGGCGAGTCAATAATTACTCGTTAGCTCGCTGGATATCTTTGCGTTGACCCTAATGTTACTCGTTAGGCGGATTCACGCTCAACCTGATAGGCGAATCCATTTTGACACCCTAAATATACCATAATTTCTAGTAACTAAATGCTTAATTACTCTCTAAATGCTTAATTACTCTTTCAAAGATTATAGAGCCTATAAAAAGTCCTAAAACTTTACGTTTTAAGAAATGCTTGTAGTCCTGGCTAGGACTTAAACATCATTTAACTTTTGAAAAAATCCCAAATAAGATATACACATTCTAGAAGGTCCAACATGAAGGTTAAACGGTTTTACATGTACTAACCACTTGAAACTTAACCTGCCCCTTTTTTAAAAACTAATTATCGGTCAAAAGCTAACACCATCCATAAAAAAATAAAAATATTTATGGATATACGAAGAGAACAATTTATCATATTTGTGAATTTTCTTTAATACCCCTTCATCTCATAAATCTTTTAAAATATAAATATTTTAATATTTTTTAATTAATTTTCAATTGGAAAAATGTTTTCTTTGTCAAAATATTTTTTAAAAGAAACAATCGGAATATAAATTACTACAAAGTTTAAAAAGAAAAAAGGAACAAAAGTCAATTAGAGGGTACCGGAACAGGTCCTCTGCGTAGTGAGCTTGTATATCAACACCAGAATTCCAGCAGCATGTATTGCCTCAGATGCAATAAAGAAATGATTGTGGTCTTTCACTGCAAATCTCAAACCAGCTAAACAAGCTAATGCGATTATCAATCCAAAAAAGCTCTTTACCTTCATCGATTGGCTCCTCATCCACCCAAACACCTGTGTCGCCGGCGAATTCCTCCTCCTCCCCATGATCGGCGACAATTTTTTTTTTTTTAAATTTCTTTAAATTTTTTAAAGATAGAATCAAATGTATTAATTGTCGAAAACTGCATTTGCTAGTCTACATTTATAAGTGAATCCGTAAGTATGAGAGCCGTTTGGGAAAGACACGGAGAAGCCATGCAGTGATGTGGCATTTAAAACGTTCCTATGTTTGTAACCAATTAGATTACGACACGTCGTCTGTTTGAGTTGTAGAAATCTTCAAGGTAATTGTTGCTTGCCTGTTTTGGACCGCTGATATTGACTGCTTGATGACTAGTGTTTTGGGCTCGTTTCACTGGAAGATTACTGTTTGATTTGAGGAGTCAATTGCAATTAGTATGGTTCGAATTTTTTTTTTTCACTCGCCGGAGAAAGAATATTGTAAGCTAATAATATTGGTAAAAAGGTGTAGCTTTCGTGAAACAGTAAATTTGACCACTCAGTTGCCATTACGGTTTGAAATTTTGCATATACATATTAGGTTTAAATTTATATTACACCATGTGTCACATGCGTTCGCTCCTCTTGGTCATTATTCATAATACTATTTGAATACGTGATCTTTTTATAATTTTATAAATTTGATGTCATCATCTTTAGATTTCTTCCTTATAATAGTGGGAGATTTATATATATTTTATATAACTTTCCAAATAATAAAATAATATAAATAAAATCACCGATAAAAATAATTTAAAAACCTTCAAAATGACTACATTTGACAATCAAATCTCAATACATAAGCAACAATAATATAATAAAATAATATAAATAAAATTCACCGATAAAAATAATTTAAAAACCTTAAATGACTACATTTGACAATCAAATCTCAATACATAGCAAACAATAATATATATATTATATATATATATATATATATATATATAATATATATAACAATAGCAAACTTCAGATATATATAACAATAGCAACTCAGATTTTATGCAAAAAAAAAATACAAATATGAGGATTATTTAAAAAAAATAATAATATGAGCAATAATAACTCAGATCTGTATGAAAAACACAAATGTGAGATTATTTGGAAAAAAAAAATACAGTTTAATGGGCAACAATAACTCCGGTTTGTATGAAAAGACAAATTTGAGAATTATTGAAAAAAAAAAAGGATAATCATGGATGAGAACTAATTAGCAGCTGCCCAGGGAAGAAAAAAATTTTTTTTTAAGGTTTTTTAGAGCATATATTATTACATAGATATATGGGTAGACATCAAAAGTAATTCATCATATTATTTTGAAAAAAAAAATCTCATGTTCATTTATAGATAATATTGAAGAATTCATAGTAATGCAATAACCAATAAGTATCACTAATGACAAGTAATAAATCACAAATTTATTTTTAGTAAAAATATATCACAAAATTTTAATATAAAGATCACAATAAATCATTAAATTGTAATTTATTTAGTATTTCACTTTTAATTAGTTTTCTCAATTGTGTTTTGCATGGTTAGTATTTGTATTCGTTGCAAGCAAATAAAATTTAATTTATATAAATAATTTTTTATTATTTATTAATTTATATATATAATTAATTATTTATTTTTTTTATAAAATTTATTAATAAATATTATTATCAATTTATATAACGAAAAATCTAGGACATTCTCAAAAAAAAATCTATTAAATAATAAAATAAAAGGTTCAATTACTAAATAACTCGTAAAGAAAAAACATAGTTATAATAAAAAATCAATAATTAAATAACTTATTAAGAAAATAATATATTTATAATAATAAAATATTATTATAATTTGACTATCAAATTTTCATGAAAATAAAATCACTTATCAACCAATTTAAATTTAATTAACTTAATTTTTTTGTATATAATATGATATTATAAACTGTTTATATTATCAAAATATGATAAATTAGTATTAATTTTTATAATATTTAATATATCAATCTTTCCTTTATATAAATTAGTTTTCTTTATGATGTGCGTTGCATGTTGACTGTGCTCATTATATGTTCATTCTTTATACTCATTTAATTTTTTATTTATTTATATAATATTAAAGTATAAATTCTTATTTTCCATACTTTTTTGTTAAAGTTTATGAGTATATAATTAATTTTATGCTTGCTTTTTTTGAGAAAAAAATTTTCTTCCAGCGTGTTATATGGTTTATTAATATAATGTGTTATAATATAATTTTATATTTTTTATATATTTTTAGTGATAAATACATATTCGACATGATAATAGATTCATGTTCGAATCCCCTTCTCCAATATTCAAAAACCAATATATATAAATGAAGGGTGGGAGGTATATAATGTTCTTTCTCAACAAGTTAAATGTCATAACATTTTTCAAATTATTCATTATCCATACTGAGACACCCCGAATTTTTATTTTCGAAAACTTTCGAATTTTTAATAAATCAAAAATCTCGATTTTCAACTAATGGGCTATATATATACCAAACAATCCTCAATTCGAGCCCAAAATTTTACGAGGTTCAAGCCCCAAGCCCAAATAAAATATCGAAAAGAAATTTGAATCGTAAACGGTTAAAAATTTTGAGAATAATACGAAACCCTAATTTAATCATTATTGAATATATATAAAATCATTATTTCCTAAAATCAAATATTGTTACTATAAATAATTTTATAATTATTTGAGTAAAAGTAAATGGAGAAAAATATTACGAAACCGAATTAAACGGTTAAAATTAAAATTGAATCAGGCCCGGAAAAATCAATTTAATTTGTCGAGAACCCACCCAAATAATCCGAGAACGAGGAAAAACTTGAAAATCAGCGAAATGAGACCAAACCACTAAACGGGACCAACCGGTTTGGAATCGAACCCGGAATGGCCTAGTTGCTAGAAACCGCCTTTCTTCTTTCTTTTTTTTTTCTTTCTCTTCTGCTTCTTCAGTGGCGCGCGACAGCCTCCCTCCACCCTCTCCCTCCGTTTCCGGCCACCGCTCGACTAGAGCGAGATGGCGATCGTCTCCGCTAGAGCTCCTAGTCCATTTTCCGACCTCCTTCCACACTAACAGAGCCTCCAGTGACGCGAAGCAGGATTGTCTCCATCGACAGTTTTCCTTCTTCGATTTCCGGCGAGACCGAGCAATTCCGGGCAATTCCGGCGACGTCAACACAAAAGGCAGGCGTCGATCGAGTCACCTCCACCTTGTGAGTGTTTCTCCTCCATTAATTCCGGCTACAACGCTTGAAATAGTGAAAACACCATTAATGGCGGCACCAAGCTACTGTCGGGACTAATTCAGCCAAATGGAGGGCCAACCTCGCACAACCAACATCAAAAACGGACTCCTCGATGAAATTTGAGTGGGGTGGCGTGAAGAAGGGTCAATTCTGGGTGGCCCCAACTTTTTCGGCCACCGTGGACGGCGGCGGCGGCGGCGGTCTGGCGAGGTGCCAGGGACAGAATGTTCCTCTCTTCGCGAGGATCGTGGAATCGTCGCTCAAATTTCAATTGGTACGTTCTAAGACCAATTTCCTATTTTGTACGTTCTAAGGGCAAGGTGCCAGGGACAGAATGTTCCTCTCTTCGCGAGGATCGTGGAATCGTCGCTCAAATTTCAATTGGTACATTCTAAGACCAATTTCCTATTTTTGGTATAAATTCTAAACTAATTAAATTGAAAATTTGAATGAATTGATTCATACATCATATATGAGCTAGGGTGAGAATGACCTATTTTGCTGAACAACAACTATTTTGAATAATTGCGAACATTTAGATAAACTAGTTATAAGAATTGATATATATTTATATCTATATACATAAGGGCGAGTCGAGTTACTTAGTAGATGTATTCATTAAATTATAATTAATTGAAGCATTTGTTCTTATTGGCTAGTATAAAATTTAACAAAGGTATAAAAAATGTGACGTATTAGCTTTAAGCAAGAATGAAGAAATGAAAGTAATTGAAATTAACTTACTGATATAAGTTTTATTCGATTATATATGTATTAAAGCTTTCATTTGTTCTTTCCAATTTGTTTTGGTAATTAGCTATACTAGCTAGTTTTAATAATTATAATGATGTAAATAATGATTGTCCATTTATCATTGAAACATAAATTTGTTGTGAACTATATGGTTGAGGCGTTGATATCGTGGTTTTGGGAGAGGATGGGGTCTTTAAATTTGATTGATTTGCCCGATTTGAAGAATTGGGCTGTTGTTGTACTGATTGTGATTAATATAATAATAATAACTGTGTTATCTAAACAGGTGGATAAGTTCCAAATTTATAGGGGAGGTGCTGCCTTGAAATTTTCGTTAGAACTTGAAAACTAGTTTTTAATTAATAACACATAATTTAAAAAAAGTTTATTTAGATTAATTCTATAACCTAATGCATAATAAACAGAGTTGCCTTCTAATTTATTTATTTTAATTTTCGCTTATTATTCATTTCAATTATTTAACGCTATTTAATTATTTTTCACTTGTTACCTGTTTATTTATCACTTGATTTTATTGGTTGTTTGTTTATTGTCTTCATGGTAAATTAATCTTGCTATTTTAAAAATTGCAAATTTTGAGAGAATGAAATGTCCCAAATTGTGGCATTGCCATTTACGATGTCCAACTGATCCATTATGTCTGGCAATTTTGAATTGCAATGTTTGAATTAATTGTGTTGGTGAAAATGCTGTGGCTTTGTTTTTGTGTGGAAATTGGCATGAAAGTGGACCACCAAATGGGTTTTGGTGAGGACGGTCGTGGGATATGGATCCCTGAATACGATATGACTACCTTGACCGTCGCGGAAAATGGGAGACTCGGCCGCTTCGTCGCACTTGACTTGATATAGATTTATACTGGGGATTTACAGGATGGCTTATTTGTTTGTTTTGTCCACACTCGATATATCTAGATTTGCGATTATACGCCCGCAGGGTGGTCTGTCTGTGGAGCACTTGATGAAATTTAGATTGGACTGGAGACCACCGGCGTTTTTCGCCCTCCCTGTTGAATATGCGAAAAGAAATGAAGAGAGTAAGAAAAAACAATGAGGGGACTGGTCAGTGAGGATTAGAACCAGTTGGCCGTACTGGGGGCTTTCGGCTTCCCTGGTGCAACATGTAACGGAGGCGAGCATGTGTGAGGACCGGCTCGTTGGGGTTTTCAGGTGGGTGGCACTGAACTAATTACCACTTGCTTTGATTACTTTGAAGGTGACATTACGTGTGGGAGTGCTGGTAATGTGCCATTTGTGTGACTGGGCTTTGCGTGAGCATAATAACTAGTCCGAATTGACTTTAGATTTGAAATGTTTACATATTTGTGTGACTGCGGTTGTTGGTGCCATAATTTAATTTACTCCTTAGAAAACTCACATTGGTCTTATTTGAATTTTCAGAGTAAGTTTTTCTTTAATCCGATTTAGGCTATGTGTCTTCGGCGCAGGGCAATAGAGAAATTTTCCTAGTTCCATAATTATTTCACTATGTAATTATTTGTATAAAAAGCTATGTATACCAAAGGGTTAGTGACTCCGCAGTTGTAGGATTTACATATATTTAGTCGTGAATTAACATAGACAAAATAATTCTGTAAGCCATATTAGAATGTGATGTATTTGTAAACTGGGCCCGAACTATAGAATGCTGTAGAAGATAAACTTGGGCTGAAAACTAATAAAATGTTGAGGTTTATTTTTCATAATCATATGGGCTGAATGTTGAAATTTATACCGAGATAATAGATTCTAGTGTTTCAGGCTTACTACGAGTGTTTCAGGTTGACTACGGGCCTCGGGGGCCTTAAGCTTACCTGGGCCCTAGTGCCGGTCCGGCCCATGGAATCGGGTCGTGACACATACACAATTATGAAAAAAATTCATGTATTATAATATATTTTGGTAATTTTAGAATCAGATTACATATTTCATATTATTTTATTATTTAAATAAATAAGTAAATGGTTAATTATAGCATTTCATGTTTATTCTAATTATTAATTAAATGATAATTGTTTTTTATAATAGGGCATAATATATTTATACATATAGATTTTCAATAAAAATTTAGACTGTTTATTTGTGTTTTTAGACTTATATTTTCTTTTACTATGGTTTTTTTTTTTTTTTTTTTTTTTTTTTTTTTTTTTTTTTTTTTGAACGAAGAAAGAAAAACTTACGGATTTTTCCAGGATTTGAAACTTAAGATTTTTAAAAAAATTACTTCCAATCGCCATTTTTCCTTTATTCTAACTTCCAATTTCAAGAATTGTAAAAATTTGCCATTTCTATTCTAAAATATACCTACATGATTTTGTTTTTTTTTTTTTTTTTTTTTTTTTTTTGAAAAGAAAAGAAAAACTTACGGTTTTCAGGATTTGAACTTAGACTTTTAAAAAATTACTCATGCACTTTATCCATTTATTCTACTCAATTTCAAGAATTGTAAATTTGCATTTCTATTCTAAAATATACCTACATGATTTGTAGATAAAAGCCGGACAATATCAAATCACCACCAGTCAATTCATGGATTAACTGATTCAACCACCGTTTTGGTTCGATTAAAAACAATATTTTCATGATAAATACAACTTATTTTTGTGTTTTTAAGGAAACTATTTTAAAAGTTGAGGACATTTTTCAAATTTTATTCGTGTTTTTTTTTTTTTTGTTCACTTTCCATCTTTACCTTTGAATAATGTAGCGAGATCGCAATATAAAATTATATATCCTATTATTATTTTTCTTTTCTTTTTGAACTACCTAATGCTTAAGATTTGATTTTTTAATTTAATTTTAAAATAATTTTTTTTGCAAAAAAAAAAATTGTTCTGTATTTACTAAATTATCTCTCAAACTGTAAAGTTGTCAATTGAAACCTAAATTAAAATAATATTACATTTTTACTAATAAAAAAGAATCAAAAAAAAAAATAATGAATGATAAGGAATACGTACGCACCGATAAATATACTATTAGATTATTGAAATATGATAAATAATACATGAACTTGGCTTGATTATAACCAAACCAAGAAAATCAGCTTAATTATAATTAAAAAACATAAATTGATCCACAATTATTAAACACACACAGAGAGTACATAGCTGAGAAATTATTATGCAGGAGCTCTCTTTATTTAAAAAACACAAATTAAATCCAATTAAGTCTCTTCTACTGCTTGATAAAGCTGAGGAGCCAAACGAGGTGTGAGAACAATTTCCAGAGGAGTTTCCTTAGACAATGATATATTCAAGCTTTCAGTCATATCCACAAGCTCATTCGATGGTGTTCTTAAATTAAATCCCTGAAGCAATCTTCCAATACCCAATTGTACAACTTGCATTGCAAAGTTAAGTCCAGGACAAGACCTTCTTCCGGAACCAAATGGCAGGAGCTCAAAATTCTGGCCGACAACATCAACATCTGCATGGCTTGTTAGAAACCTCTCTGGCTTGAACTCATCAGGATTGGCCCAAACTTTTGGGTCGCGATGTAGTTTCCATAAATTTGTCAGAAAACGAGTTCCTCTTGGAATATGGTATCCATAGAAATTGCAATCTACCATTGACTCACGTGGTACTGCGAGTGGCCCTGCTGGGTATAACCTTAATGTTTCTTTAATGATTGCTTTGAGGTAGACCAGGTTTTCACAGTCAGATTCTTCTAAGATTCTGTCTCTCCCAACTTTTTGGTCTATCTCCTCTTGTGCAAGCTCTAATGCCTTCTTGTTGTTTAATAGATTGGCTAATATCCATGTCATGGTTATAGATGTTGTATCAGCTCCTCCAACAATAACAGTCTACAAAAATTAAACAAAAAATCAAGGCCTAGCTGTCCATTCTTATGTAATTGAAGAAGCTATCAAAAATACTTAGCTTAGATGGAATCCATTGCTTCACTTATGGACCAAACAAATGAAATTAAAATTTCTTTAAAAGTGTTTCAACTTTTACTTTTTTTTTTTTGTGCAAATATATGGTCAGAAATACACTCGTTTCAATAAAAATCTTAATTTCGTTGGTTTAGTTCATAGGTGGAGTCATAGATCCGATCTAGATAAATTTTTTTCATCTTGTGAGCTATAATGTAACGTAATATTACATAATCAATGCATTTGATCTTATTATATTGTAGCTTACCAAATCTAATCTAGACTTATAGAGACTCGGTCTATAGTCCACCCACGAACCATGTCAATCAAAAAAGAGATTTTAAAAGTTATTTCAACTCAATTTTTTTATCCGTGTATGTTGTGTTTTAATAAAAAAATTAATTTTTATTAATTTGATATACAGGGAGATTTAGGATAGAGTGTAGATAAAGTTAATGTCTAGAATATAAGTATATAAGGTTAACTTACCAGTATTGTAGCTTTGATAACCGTTTTACGGGAATTACCGAACGTTGAATCATCCTTAATTTCAGACAACAAAACATCGATAAAATCCTGATGAACATTTGACTCACCGTTGACCCGTTTAGACTCATGTTCATGAATCCAATTTTCTATAATATTATCAAACTCTTTCATCACCTTCTTCATAGTTTTAACCGGACCAAGAAATTCCGACCATCCAAGAAACGGGATTAAATCAGAAGCAACAAAAACTCCAGCAAGATACATAAACTCTCTCATGATTTGTCCAATCGGACGTCTATTTTCATCATTTCCGGTACTATTACCGTCAAAATAACGCTTTCCGGCCACCATTCTTGTTATTATATTCAAAACCAAATGTTCCAGCAATTCACTCATATCAACCGAACAATTTCCATTCTCTTTACATTTCAAAAACAAATCTTGAACAATGTGACTGACCTCTGTTACTCGAACATGTTGGAGTAACTTGAGTCTATGGAGAGACAGTACCTGAACCATGGCTAGCTTACGCACGTCGCGCCAGTACGTACTGTAAGGCGCGAAGCCGAAAGCTGCGTAATTGTAAGCTAAATATTTAGATTGGCTTGACGGTGGCCGCGACGCGAAGAATTTGTCGTGTGTTGTGTAGAATTCTTTCAGAATATTTTGGTCGCTTATTACAATCGTAGGATGCTTCCCTAGCCGGACTGTAAAGATGGGGCCGTAATTATCAGCAATTTCGCCCAAAATTCGGGCAAATGGTTTTCGGTCGCCGAGTTTATGAAGGTGGCCGATAAATGGCAAGGCGCCAGCCACTTCCGGTGGTAAAGAACCGCCTTTGTTTTTTATTTTTGGAGTCTTTCTCGTTCCCCACAGGTTATAGAATACCAGTAAAGCAAGAATGCCTAGAATGACTGTAAAGTTTGAAGAGAAATAATCCATTATGGATATGGAAATTGGAGAATATTGAGTAAGTGGTGATGCTGAAGAAATAGTGGAATATATAGAGCAAGCCCGCTTGTCGTTTCTGCTACAGTCAAGCACGTCCATACTGATTTTTCTCTTCTTATTTTTCACTTATTTTTCTTTTTTAATTTTCACTATGCCATGATTAACCTGCTAGATTCCACTGTATACTAAGTTAAAGATAAATAGTTCCTTGCAGAGTATTTATTTCATCTATAAAAATTGAACTTTGCATAAAGAATAATAATACTGAATTACTCATCCTAATATATAATCGTTGATATGGATTTTTTTTTATAATATCTTATAGATATTTTATTTTTTGATCAAATTTTAATTTAATAATGTTAAAATTAGTATAAAAAAATATAGTGATTAGTGTGCATTAAATTCCATATTTAATCGTAGGATCAAGCGGTAGTATTTTAATTTAATCGCTTCGAGTTAATTTGAAACCGTGAATTTAAAAGTTGAGACATATATCAAATCCAGTGAAATTAATTAAAAAAAAAAAAAGCAAGTAAAATTTTAATTGATGGGTCGAGACATATATAATAAAAAAAAAAAAAAGAGAAAATCATTTACATTATCTATTTGATTTAGTAAAAAAAAAAAAAAATTAAGGCAAAAGCCGGCAAGGTAGTTGATGATTATTCGACCTCTAATTAATGTGTTTAGAGCAAACTGAACTTTGAAAACTTCTTCTAAGATTTTTCTTTAGAGCCTCTAAGATATTAAAGACTATTTTTAAATAAAGATTAATAGTATTTAGAGTTTTATTATTTTTTGAACCCCTTCTTCTGAGAAATAATGTTGTATATATAGAGTTTTTTTTTGAACCCTAAGTCAGTATTTAATCAGGAAAACATATGCGTTTCTAATTAGGATTCTATGTTAGATATTCCATATTAAATAGTCACCATTTATTTAGGATTTAATAGATTTTTTTATTTATATATAAAGAAACCTTTATATAAATTTAGGATTTAATTAATAGATTTTTTTTTTTATTTTTCACTGTGTATTTTCCATATTAAATTATTTGCAATTAGGACTTTTATCTTACAGAACTATCTACGAAAAGAGCAATGAAGTTGAATTGAAACTAAAAATTTCATAGACATTTAATTTGTAGGATTATTTCTCTCAAAAAATAGCACAATCTAATACTATCTCCATGCTATAATATTTATCATATTTGAGAAAAATAATTTGTTTCGAAATATTTTTCACGTCTGTGGTTTTAAGAAGTAATAAATATTTGTTTCTATGTTTACCCTTTGTATATGTCCAATAATCATTATTTCAGTTTAATAGTTTTCTTAGAGAATAGTATTAAATTAAAGGTAATATAGTCAATTTACTCAATAATTTATTGTAATTTAGACCGTCTGTGGTTTTTATAAGAAGTTAATAAATATTTTTGTTTCTATGTTTACCCCTTTGTATATGTCCAAAATAATATTATTTCAGTTTAAATAGTTTATTTCAGTTTAATAGTTTTCTTAGAGAATAGTATTAAATTAAAGGTAATATAGTCAATTTACTCAATAATTTATTGTAATTTAGACAAATTTAATGATTTTCTTAAGAACTTAGAATTCTAAATGTGACAAGTAGTATGTAACAGAGGTAATATATACTATATCTAATGTATTAAATGTGTTTTTTGATTTTTTTTTTTTTTATCAAATGACTAAGGAACTAGTTAGACACGGATAATAAACTTAACCAACTTGTTTATGTTCATGAATTTTAGATAATTAAAACAAAGTGAAAGATATCAAATGTATTGAATTTTGTTTTTTAGTGTAATCTCCCTCAAACGGCATATTCTAAAGACTTTTTGTTTTTCCAGCAAAGAAATAAACGTGTTGAAAAAAAAAAAAAAAAAAAAAAAAAAAAAAAAAAGAGAAAAAATGACCTATTAAATAAAAAAACTGTATTATTGAAAGATATAGTAGAATAAATTGAAAAAAAAAAAAAAAAAAGAGAAAAATGAGCTATTAAATAAAAAAAACTGTATTATTGAAAGATATAGTAGAATAATAAGGCTTTGAAATGTAAATTGCAATGCTTGGAAAATTAAAGAAGTGGTTATGCAAAAGTTGTTCACATTGAAAATGAAATTGATAATTGACATCGAAAGAGATTGGTTTCTGTAGGTTGAAAAATCAAATGAAAAGAGTTTAATAAAAATTAGAGGATGGGTGTTAATATATAAATAATAAAATATATTAAAAAATAAAACATAAGGTAATAAATTTTCAAATAAACTCTGATTAACAGATAAATTAAGATTTTATTATTCTTATCCAACCATAATTATCTCTCTATTAATATAAATATTCTCGATTAAGCCTACGAGAAATTAATTTTTCACAATTATTTACGCCTCAATTTCCGAGAACTTAACAATAAGCCTAGGAGAAATTATTAGCCACTCAGTTTGTCAATTTCTTAGTTCCAACAAAAAACAAAATCTTATGATTCCGTCAATATTTAGTATGAGAAAATCATTAAATTGCTTTTATTTTTCTTGCTAATTCAAAAAATTTGTCTGTCGCAGCTGCGGAACTTTGGGGGAACCATACCAGCAACATCTAGGTAGGAAATTAATGACCAGCAACAATTAATATATAATTAAACTTAAGAAAATCATTAGCAGGGGTTAGTTAGCCTATTTGATGACGAAATTGATTAGATATTTTGGTCTCGTGTGAAAAAAAAAAATGTTTTTCCACTAGCTTCATCTTCAAGTTATCTATTTTCAATTAAATGTCTGAATCTATATGTTTATATTCGAAATTTAATTTAGTAGGTATTAGTGACAGATAGTCGTTGATGTACTGACAAATTTGCATCTAGAAGATCTTCATTATATACATTATTTCTCTTTTTTCTCTGGCATTTTAACCACCGTTTTATTTTGGGGCTGTTGCTGATTTTTTTTTCGCTTCACTTTATTTTGATTTTTAATTTTTTATTTACTCTAATAAATTTATATTTGTTTTTCCTATAACAGATTTGTCTCCCTTTTTTTATTTTTTTATTGTTATTTTTTCTCTATAATTAGAGTTTTTTGTCCATTCTTTGTGAGGGTTTATTACTAATTAAAATAATATGACATTTGATTTTATTTGGTTGAAAACTTTAGGTCTTAATTTGTAAGTATGTATTTTCAATCGATGAAGCTTGATAGTGCGGCCTATTCATCCATTGATACTATTGATGCACAGTGACGTAAACTCATCTGTGTTTTCTCATATTTTGCAAATTCTTGAAAAAATAATTCAGGTATATAAGATCCATAAGAGTTTGCCGTCCAAATTAATTAATAGACTAGTTACTGCAGATTTATTTCTTTTATCGAGATCAACTCCAAACAGAAATATTTAATAATATTTTTTTTTTAATTTTAGTTTCATTATTCAAAAAAATATAAATTCTTTTAGTTTATTCAAAGATGAACGAACTCTATTAACTAGTAATAGTAAAGTTCTAAGACTGATCTATACGAATATTTGTAATTCTTAATAATATTATTAATGAATTATATTTAAAAAAAATAGTCTAATTATAAAAGTTTGAAATTCTGATATCCTTATTATGAAGAAAATATTACCTAAATATCATGTTAATCTAACTGCAAATTAGTCTCATCTACGTAAGCAGATGAGAAAACCAAGAAATGTAATTAAAAAAAAAAAAAAAAAAAAAATCCTACGTAAGCAGATGAGAAAACCCAAGAAATGTAATTAAAAAAAAAAAAAAAAAAAAAAAAAAAAAAAAAACTCTACTCCCAGTAATCACTTATAAATATTTATATTTCATTATTAATTTTAAATTCAAAATTAGATTAATTTCCCAACAGTTATTATTGATAATTGATAAGTTTAACTGAGCATAAATTGGTCGAGTCATTTTTTATTATTAGATAGAGTGAAAAAATATGGATTTTGACTTGTTGCTTAGAGAATGTAATTATGAAACTAAATAAAACCTTTTGAAACAATATTACTTAAAAAGTTATTCTATTTTTTATTTTGTAAACATTTTGTAAAATAAATAATTTTCTTTAGATATGATGAAAGTGAAAATTTTAACCACTGATTTGGGATATTATTTATATAAAGAAACATATATAATGGGGTTAATATTTAGAATATAACTATACGGTGTATAATTAAATATATCTTAAATCTCAAGTTATGATAAATAAAATTCAATTTTTTTTTTTTTTTTTTTTTTTTTTTTTTGGTTGAGGAGGGGATTTCGTGTTGAGTTGTATATATATTTACCACTAAGTTATGCGTTAGTGTGCAAAAGCTTTTAATTTTTGAGAATGCACTAGTTTAAATTATTATTATTAGGAAAAGCAAAAGATTATTTGTTCAATATTGGGTACGTGACCTGTGGCTCATTTATTCTCCGAGCTTGAAAAAAAGAAAAGAAACAATGAAAAACGCATGCAAGAGTTGGAATTTCATCATTAAGAAATCTTTTCTTTGGTGTCCAAAAGAAAATAAAGAAAACGTATTTACATATTCAATTATTTAAGATTTAAAAATATGAGCAAACATATTCAAAAACATTGATTAAATAAACTTTCTTCCTATTCTTTAAACAAATTCTCATCCTATTATTTTTCAAATGAGAAATTCATAGCCTATTAATTTTTTTTTTTTGAAAAGAATAGCCTATTAATTATTAAAATATTAGTCAAAACATATAATTCAAACATAATATTACAATTATTTTTTTATTAATTATTTTTGTTATATTAATCATTAATCAAAAGGATTAAGTAGTACAACTGATAAAAATTATTAAATTTAAATAATTATTTTAATAATTTGTTTGAGTATAGTCTGGAGATTAAATTGTAATCCACTCAAAATTATTGAAAATATGTTAAAAAATTAATTATGCAATGTAACTATAGTGTATCTCATAGGATACTATGATTTTCATATATGAAATTATTTAATCTAAATAATTATTTATTTCAAAATTTAACAAAATATCATAAATCTTGGGCTAATCGGCCCAAGCCTACCTTAATATTTTTCCTTATAACTGGGCTTATATGGACCTTATGTTAGAAAATTAAACCAAGCTTGATGTTTTTTGGTCATCTAGAAATTCTTTATCAAGTTATTAAACTGTTAATGTGGCTTGAATTTCTGGCCCACACACCAGCTATGAGCTAATAACTTGCAAGAATGATTTTGCTTTATCATAATATGGGAAAAATACAATTTTATCCATTTATTTTACCATAATTAACTATTTTTTCATACATTTTAAAAATTATATTATTTCATTCTTGTAATTTGTATCCGCTAAATGAAGCTATTTTTTATACATTATTTATAATTTTACTAATACTTAATGATTAAAATATTAAATAATGGACGGTAAGATAATTTTATTTAACGGATCTAAAATATAAAAATAAAATAATATAATTTTTAAAATACAAAAATAAAATAATTAATTTATATCAAATATAAGGATAAAAATGTAGTTTTCCCTCGTAATATTGTCGCCACATCGATTAGCTTTACTAGTTTGTCAAATGTCAAAGTCTAGAGGTTGCCATTACTACCCACTTGTTTATTGGCCTATTGTATGGCATTTTAAGATGAGAGCAGTGACAAGACAACCCATTCACGCAATTGATCCCACATCTTCAAAAACTGAAATACTATTCACTGTCTGCCGGAGCTGGGTAATAATTTTTTAAATTAAAATATTAAATATTATCTTTATAGTGTTCAGTAACGCAGTGTTTGAATTAATTTTTTAGAAATTAAGATAATATTTTATAAAAAGTTAATTCATATAAACCTTTAGTTTTTAGCATTTTATGAAAAGTTAGTCAAACAGCTAACAGTTAAACTGTACTAAACCAGCTAACAATTATTAAAATATCTAATTTTGTCGAATATATCCTAAAACATAATATGGTTGGCCTAGTCAAAACATTAATCATGGTATATATCATCAAACAAAATTAATATAATCTGCAAATCCAATACTCAAAACATAGAATCCCACAAAATAAAAATCAATTTTGAGGTCTTTGGATCTTGGAATCTTGAAGGTGTGTTCCAATTTTATGTCACCAAAATCATTTAACTTTTAGTAGCACATGTCACTCTATAGACCTTGCGTCTAAGCAATTATCTACATGTTGCTTGAAGGACGGAACTACAGATGACAAGTGATAGCTGCCGCTCCCCTAGGTAAAAAAACATTTTAAATTTTACTTCACAAATTAATGTATAACGATTTTTTTTTTTTCTCTTGATTTTCCCTATAATTTTGATTTTTTTTTCGTCTCTTAATTTTGAATTCTGAGTCCGCCTCCATCTTATTAACGCTTACTACTAATTATAAAATTAGATTGAATTTTTGTGAGCTTTGAGTTTCAAATGGAACTATAGTTTATGCATATGAAGAAAATTAAATTTGCATGATATTGCTTCAGTTTCCTCTGACATAACCCAGTGAAAATTGAAAATTCTTACAAGTAAGACATAGAAGTTAAAATTACACATAAAATTCTTAATTGAAATTGTCCATCTTATATATGTATAACCCCTCTTTATTTAATCCAGACGACATAACTAATTTCTTCAATTCAACTGTTGGTAAAGCTCAGGAGCAAGGCGCGGTGTGAGAACAACTTCAAGAGGAGTTATTTTTGGCAAGGCAATTCCTTTACCTTCAGTCATGTCAACTGGTTCATTTCCTGGAGTTCTAAAATCATATGCTTGAAGTAACCTGGCAAGAGTTATGTTCATGACTTGCATTGCAAAATTCAGTCCAGGACATGACCGTCTTCCTGCACCAAATGGTAAATACTCGAAATGTTGACCGGAAACATCCAGATTTGCGTTGTCCGTTAAGAACCTTTCCGGCTTGAACTCTTCCGGGTCTGCCCAAACATTCGGGTCCCTGTGTAATTTCCATAAGTTTGTAAACAAACGGGTACCTTTTGGAATATGGTACCCGGCTATGGTACAATCTTCTGTTGCTTCGCGAGGCACTCCTAATGGACCTGGTGGGTACAAGCGTAATGTTTCTTTAATCACAGCTGAGAAGTAGTCCAGTTTCTCAATATCGGAGTCATCTACCCATCTGTCTCTTCCAACTTTTTGATCTAGCTCCTCTTGGAGACGCTCTAACGTTTTCCGATTGTTCAAAAGACTTGATAACGCCCATGTCATCGTGATCGAGGTGGTATCAGAACCGGCAACGATGAGTGACTGTAACAAATAATTTAAAAGGAAACTGGTTAAGAATTTGGGTGTTCAATTTCAGAATCTAATTAATTAGTAAAATTTTTTAAAAATTAAGAGACTTTAAAACTTACCATTGCGGTTGATTTGATAATCACATCGCATTTGTGGCCAAAAGTGGTATCATCTTCAATGACTGATAACATAACATCAATGAAGTCTTTGTTTGAGTCAGTCTTGTTCTTCTTCGTCTTGTGTTCTTCAATCCAAGTAGACATAATAACATCCAATTCTTTAGATACTTTCTTCATGGTTTTCTTTATCCCTTGAATATCCCACCAACCAAGAAATGGGATTAAATCACCAGGTACAAGAGCTCCTACAACAAACATAAACTCTCTCATAATCTTTCCAATTGGTCTGCCATGTTCGTCTCTCCCCTCACTATTTCCATCGAAATATCTTTTTCCGGCAACCATTCTTGTAATTATATTCAGAATCAAATGTTCCAGCATTTCAGACATGTCAATCTTCTTCTTTGAATCGCTATACAAGTCTTTGATCATGTTGTTGACTTCCGATACTTGAACATGTCTCATTAACTTAATTCTTTGCACCGATAAAAGCTCGATCATGATCAATTTACGCATATTACGCCAGTAAGTACCGTAGGGAGCAAATCCGAAAGCTGCATAATTATAACCAATGTATTTGGCTTGACTGGAAGGCGGGCGAGACGAGAAAAGAATATCATTTGTAGTGAAAGTTTCTTTCATGGCTTCATAGTTGCTAATAATAATTGCTTTATGAGCTCCAAGCCGGACAGTGAAGATAGGGCCGCATTTATCAGCCAAATCGCCCATGGTTCGGGCAAGAGTCTTTTCTCCGCCGAGCCTATGGAGGTGACCGATGATCGGCAAGGCACCAGGCGCTTCTGGTACGGATAACCCTTTATTTTTTGTCCCATTTTTTCCAAATCGCCAAAGATTGTATAACAATACTAATGAGATAACACCAGCGATTGCTACTATATGTGAAGGGAAATCCATTGCAGGGTTTGGAGGTTGTGTTTGATCTGGAATGATGAAATGAACAGAAATTGGTTGGTCTTTATATAGAAGAAGTGAGTTAAAGTAGTTCTTTGACTGGAAACAGAGAAAGAAAATACATCATCCTAGCTATGTGTTGCATTCAGTCAAATTTGGTGTCATTTTTTAAATTTTCTTGCAGTTTCTCAATGCTTTCTCCATTTCCAAATTGGCTCCTTGTTCAACATTATATTATAGTTTACTCTCAATCCTTTTTGTAGTCAAAATTAGATTTTATATATAACCCTAATTTTTATAGTTGTCCACCATTTTTTTCCAAATCGGCCGCAAAGATGGTTTATGTCCGTTACCAGAGCGCCTTGTGATTGCCAACCATTGAGTACCCCGGATTAAATCGTGGGATAAAGATACAGACGACGCAAGAATAACACGATTGCTCTACTATTAATGATGAATGAATCCATTGCAGGGTTGGAAGGTTATTGATCGGTGATCGGAATTGATGAAATGAACAAAAATTGGTTGGTCTTATTATAGAAGAAGTGATTAAGTAGTTCTTTGACTGGAAACAGAGAAGAGAAAAAACATCATCCTTGCTATGTGTTGCATTCAGTCAAATTTGGTGTCATTTTTAAATTTCTTTGCAGTTTTCTCAATGCTCTCCCATTTCCAAAATGGCTCCTGTTCAAACATTATATTAGTTTTAACTCTCAATCCTTTTTGTAGTCAAAATTAGATTTTATATATATTAATATATATATATATATATATCATCCAGCAACTTGAAAAGAAACGGACACCACAGAACGGACACCACCTTGTCAAATAATAATAATAATAATAATAATAATAATAATAATGGACGCCAAATTTGACATGCTTCAGTCTACTTTGATGACTTACATAATGAATTAATTTTTGAAATAGTTACATTTTAATTGACAGGACTGACTTTAATTAGGACTGTTTTTAAGAATTTTACTTTTTACTTTTTATTTTTTTAATTTTAAAAAATTTATATTCTGATTTTATTTATTTTTTCAATTATAAAATAACATGTTATCCATCAAATATGTATGTATCACAATAAGTTGAAATCATTTTTAAGTTATTAGAGATAATTATAGTTTAAGCCTAAAATAGAAATTTTCTTTTAGTATATACAAATTTATTAATTAAAGAGAAATGGACGGATTTGGTAGTTGATTTGATAACACTAACTACAAGTGAGACTATAAAAGAATAATAGAAAATTGTCAAATATAATAGGGTTTTTTTTAATAATCAGAAATTGTAATTTTTATAAATTATAATTTTAAAAAATTAAATTTATAATCTCACCCTTATTAAAAATTGTTAAAAATTGTTAGGCGAGCGTCGAAGTCAATTTAGAGAAAACTTTTCTGCCCAACTTGTATCCTCAGTCAAATCAAGGCCCTGGAAAGGTCCCGGTCAAGAGTAAATCAGTTGCCACGTTGATCATAAACCCTAATTTAACCAATTCCACCAACCGGATATTTAACACCTTCATCATAAAATTAAATCAATTAATAAATAAATTATTTTGAATATCGTAATACAATAAAATTTAATTTGATACTTTTTATGATTTAGATAAATTCAAATAAGAAAAAAAATATAAGAGACATCCATTTTTATGATTTAATATTTAGCATATATATATATATATATATAAAATATTGATTTAACATTTTCTAAACTACCATAGCACATTGAGTAATGTCTTAAAGAACTAGTCTAATCTGCTTACATCACATATAAAGATATATATATTAAAAGGTAAAATTACTTTAATAGTATTATAATCTTTGAAATAAATTATTTAATTTTATGTTATTTCAAAGCCAGCATCAATTTGATAATGACTCCATTAATAAATTCAATATTCAATTTATTGAACTCAGTTCACAAATAATAAGAAGTAGCATCTTGTTTCATTTATATTTCTTTTACTTTTGAAAAATGAATACGTTAATCGTTGAAATTTTTTATTATTAGTAACATAGTAATATAATTATATTTTAAAACTTTTCCTGATTGGTTGCATCTCATCTCCAGCAGCCACTTAAAAGAGCTTTGGCAGCCTTGATTCCACTTTTGGCGTCTAGCAGTTGAATATGAATATTGAAAGAGTACATGTCATAAAATAAAGAAAATTTAATGTTTTTAAGTCATAAGTAGCATTTTATTTCAATGTTCAACAATTGAAAAGTATGAGAGGGAAGGTGCTATGTTAGAAAAAAGCCAGGTAGGTTGAAGCAAACCTTACGATATAGATTGGGTCAAGCTTTGTCACAGCTTTTAGTTTGCAAACGGGCTGGATTTAATTACCGTTTCAACCCAGTCCATGCCATCAATTGCAAAAGGAAAACTCTAGTAAATTAGGGTTTGAGTTAACCCATTAATCTCTTTTTTAGGACAAATTGCAATATCTTTCTTAAAATTCAATCTAATATATTATATTAGTCATTCTTTAAAACTCATGGTCTTATATAGTTTTGAAAAATGACTTCAACAACCCATAAAGAGCGGTTGAACAGTAAGATATATACGTTTCAGTTCAGCCGACAATCTCTGTAAGGTTAAAGATTTAATTTGTGAAAAAAATACTTATAAGAAATAGCAATACAAACCTTAAAACTACATCAAATCTCATACTCAATATTTAAAAGTTGATTTATTCATAAAGCAAATTGAAATAATTCTAACTCATAATACACAGCTACTTCTTATTTACCATCTAGCATTCATATAATTCAGAAGAAAGACGTGGAGTGATTTGAATTTCCAAAGGAGTAGCCTTAGGCAAGGTAATACCTAAACCTTCAGTCATATCCACAGGCTGATTAAATAGTGTTGTCAAGCTGAATGCTTGAAGTAACCTAGCAAGAGTCAAATGTATTGCTTGTATTGCAAAATTAAGACCAGGACAAGACCTTCTTCCTGAACCGAACGGCAAATACTCAAAATTCTGACCAGAAAAATCAACATTATTATCTCTATTGGCAAGAAATCTTTCCGGCAAGAACTTGTCAGGATTCGACCAAATATTTGGATCTCTATGTAATTTCCATAGATTAGCTAATACTCGAGTTCCTTTCGGAATATAATACCCAGAAATGTAACAGTCGTTTATTGCTTCATGCGGAACTGCAAGTGGACCTGGTGGGTATAGTCGCAGTGTTTCTTTAACAACAGCTTGAAGGTATACTAAATTTTCTATATCAGAATCTTGCACACATCTTTCTTTTCCAACTTTGAGGTCTAGTTCTTGTTGGGCAAGCTCTAGTGCATGTCTGTTGTTCAATAAATTTGACAAAATCCATGTTAGGGTTATGGATGTTGTATCAGCTCCTGCAATTATAAGAGTCTGCAAGCATATAATTGAGAGTATTAACATTACATTGACCTTAATTAATTAAGAACAAACTAATGTTGTAAAATGAGTTTAGCAATTTTCACATTGAGATTAACTTACTTATCCTCAATGCCTAAGATGATTGCATGAATCTTTTGTAGTTATTTGAGAAATGGGTTTTTGTTCAAACACTAATTAATTATTAATGGGTATTTGTTTCCTTTACTGATGAGATTTCAATTACTTGTTAATTAAAATTATATTTTTCATTTTTTAAAGTTAACAAGTTCAAAAAAAAAAAAAAATACTCGCAAAATCCTATATTCGTAAGTTAAAATCATAGAGACAACGAAAAAGAAATCCTGTCTATCAAGAAAAATTTCAGACCAAGGGTCGAAACAAACACCTCCTCAAGAAATTACTCGACCATCCTGTCTAAAGAGGAAACGTAAAAATGCTACAAACCTCTACCCCCCCAAACGTAAATTCATACTTCTTCACGTCAACCCTTTCTTTCGAAAATTTTCGAAGCAGGACCACTAATATAAAAGTCCCCCAACGCATAATCCCAGAAAAGAAGAAAAACCTTTTCTTCTGTCTCCAAGCGCTATTTCCGAATGCCACAACACACTAATTTTTGTGAGTAATCCTACTATGTAAAAAATTACCAATCTTGACAGGCGAATAGCCCTAATAATAATCCGAGTGCATTCTTTCTCACGAGAAAAAAATAATATTCTACAAGATCGAAACATACCCCAAGGAGGACACTCAAAAATGGATAACAATCAAGTACCTCGTCATGTTCAATTGATTTAACCTTATTCAAAAGGGAAGAAAATAACTAGAACAATTAAGCGCATGTTTTAACCGCTTCCGGGTGTTGAATAGGTTTAAATTTCTCAAATTTTACCGGTTCCTCGATGCAGGGTGATTTCATTTTCGTGTTAACCTTAACAATTCGTGTCCTTCTTTGATTGAAATTATTGGTATTTTTTTATAATCCATAAACCTAAAGAAGTATTTTCTAATATAGATATAATCTCTTGAATCGCCAATTCCACAATTCCCGTTGGTCTTTAATTATTCTTTCACCTTTTGAGCGGGTAACCAAAGTATCTTGAAGTTTCCTATGTTTATTCGGCCGAAAGCCCTATCCCATATGCCACAAGTTTTGTGCCTTTGTAGGGTATTTTCCTACTGATTAATAAAAATTTCTGAAGACTCAAACACAAACTTGTCTTCCACGATATTGATAAGCTCAATAATTTCATTCGCTGTTAGCAAGGATATTTTTTTAAAAACCAAAATCCACCGGAGAATTGAATTGTTATTTCATACTGCAAGCCGACCTGAGACAAAATGTTTATATTAAGTTCGCTATGCGTGCCATTTGTCACCACTAAGATAAGAATTGGAAATGAAAAACACGCAGCATATAAGTACATTTTAATTATTCACCATGTCACCCGGCCAATTTGACACCCTTAAACAATTCAAATTTTAAATGTGTAATCAAAATATGTAAAATCCTAAATGCGTTTGAAAATAATGTATATTAGTGCTGTTATAATACAAAGACAAATAAACTATTTATAACCAATTCGAAGATTATACTTGCGTTAATATACAAAAATGAATCTAATAAGTGAATGCATTGTATTTGTAATTTTAATTGACAATTCCACTTCTTTTGTTAAAATGTTATTTTATCAAAGCATATCAGAAGTATTACAAAATAGGTGTTTTGTGTTTCTTTGTTTATCCTATTAATATATACCACTTTAATATTCTAATAATCTAATTCGTTTGTTTTTCCTACTTTTTTTTTCACGCCAGGTCGGTACTCTGTGGACTATATTGTTCTCCCAAATTGTGAGCTCGAAGTGAGAATATATACCGACAAAGTTAGAACTATGTTTATGAAGAAAATAAAAAAGAATCTTCTTAAAATTCAATCCAAATTTTTAAAAAATAGATATTTATAAATAAATCCAAGAGTTATATAACAAAAAAAAAAAAAAAAAAAAATACTCACTGAATATATCACTCGCTCGGACATCCTGATGTAGTTGAGGCAAACCACAGGATATATACGTCCCTATACTTTAATATTCCTTTTTAATTTTTAAGATTAACTGGTGTGTGGTGAACAATAAATAAAAAAAATAATAATATTCTATAACTGATAATAGTTAAGAATTCTTTATAATAGCCTTAATCCCCTTACCAAATAATTCAAATTTGAGACCTGAGTGCGTGATTTTATGCAGTCACATCTATAAGAAATTACTCGAAAAGTTTAACAAGACTTCAGCGGAAGCAGATGATGAAACATCTGCCTGGGTCATTCAAAAACAATTTTAATCCCTTACTTAACAAATAAGTATAAAAGAAATACTAATATCCAATTCAGCAAAAATTCAACGGGCCGGATATTCTTTTGGTTACAATGATTATTAATAATACATTCCTCTTATAATAATTCGAGAAAATTTTTTCTAAATTCATCGTAATATGATTATATACTTTTTAATAAAAATTTTTTTGTAAAAATTTCCATAGGTAAATTTAAAATGAAAGAGAATATAAAATAATATTCCCTTACACTTTATATTATTATTACCAAGGTGTACAATTTTAAAAACAATAAAGGCCTAACTCTATAAGGCCCCGTAACCCTTCCACACCTGAAATAATATGAAAGATTGTCTGTATGATAAAGCAAAAGTTTATATCGCCCAATAAATTATAATTATTTCGTATACTTCTTGACTAAAGTACTGGCTTAAATTTTTGCTGAGACCTTCCTATTAGCATAATATACCCTCCAATAAAATTTTGAAAAATGCGAATGTATCTGCCAAATTAAAATTAATTATTGTAGTGAGTCTAATATTATTACTAAATTATGAAAAACAAAACTTTAAAGCAATGTTCTCAAACATCCACACTTGTTCGAATAGAAGCATCAGAAAACAGGACAAAATTTATTATAAATATAATTTTATCTAGCCTACTTTTTTAGTCGTGTTGTTTCCTAGTTAGTTTCTTAATTATTAGCTCGAGTAACAAGTTTTTTGCTGTCCGTTGATCCTATCTTTTTTCCTTTTTTATGTTTAAATTGAGTTTTTGCTCTTTATTCTACTATGACCAGTTAATTAATTTGAAAGTTTTATCACCTTGATATAATACTTTAATAATTTGGCCTTCACAACCCATCGATACCATTAAAGGTTTAATCTATATTATATTCGATCTAAATATGCAAATTTAACCAATATAGTCTATCAATCACAATCTTAACTATCCCCAGATAGAATAACTTGCCAATGAAATCAAAGAATCAGAAAACAGTGGTGCGAGTGTCAAAATAAATTTATTGTTTAAAAAAGAAGCGTGGTTATATTTTCCCTGTGTAAGATAAGAACATGCATATGAAAATCACCTAACCCTTTATTATATATATATTAGCGTAAAGGGAAGAAAAAAAAGCATTGAGAATTATGTGTGAGTCTCCGGAGAGATCCTAATATCATTTCTCGCAAAATTAGAACATTTAAATAAATATTTTTAAATTAACAGAAAGGAAGTTTTTGGTTTAATTAATTATTTTTCTGGAATTCCTAAGTTGAAGTTAAAAATAAAATCTGTAATATATAAAACCAGTAAATTAAATAATTTATATAACTGTGTTAATTCATATTTTCCACATTAAAAAAGGTCTAAATAGTCCACTAAACTATCCGATGTAAATTGTTACTATCCAAGTCATTTTGCAATGTGGACCAGTCCTCCACATAACTTAGTTAACTTCAAATATTTGTAAAGTGTATATATTTTATTAAAAGCCTTGATTAGGTCTAGAGAACTATATAGCTTCGAATTCTTTACACTATTTATCCCGGAGAGCAATAGTCAAAGCTCTGTTTTCATGAAAATATTACTGTCCGTAACCATTAAGGTGAAGATTTTCTATATGTACAAATGGAACTTTGGATTCATTCTCGTAGACCCTATAATGAAGAACCCTGCTTACTATTCTACTAAATACTCACTCACAATTATTTCTATGAACTCACTAACACACTATCTACCTACAATATCATAAATTTTATAATAATAAACAATGGAATTACACATCTTTTTTAATATATATTACCCTGCCTTAATTTGGAAAATAACAAATAAACGAAAAAGGTTTTGTGCAGTAAAGAATTAAAAAGGAGCGGACAACAAAATTCTTTTACATAATGGTCTTCCAAGTTAACTACTTGATTTCAGAAAAATGATATCCTTGCTCAGTTGTTTGTTCGGAATCCAAAGAAAAACTACCTTTTTATATGTGACATTACCCTATATAAATCCGTATTATTTTAATTCAAAACTTCCCCTCTTGGCCGAAGAATGTCGAAGTATGTTTCCCCAGCCCTCTATCCCCTAATTGAGTTCCATTGAACACTTCACCATTTTCCCGCCGACCAACCCTCATTTAAAAAGGTACAATTTCTTCACTCCAGTATCTCTTGCGGTTACTACTCTTTGATACTTTTTGAAATTATTCTCTCATTTCCAGGTTTAAAATCCTGCAACTAACTATCGTCAACAATTTACCACAATGCTAATGTGTTGCCAAAAAAGAAGGAAACAAATTCTTTTGACAAAGACGCATTTCAAGTATACGACCTTTACAAATATACTAAAGGTGTCCCAATCTTTTTTTCACCCGCCCCTTAAAATAATTAAAAAAGATACAATACAAAATTTCTACATCTCTCAATATGCGATAAAATAAGTTAAAGCGAATAAAAGACAAAAAATTATTTATTAAAATCAGGACCTGATAATTTAAAGGTCAAATGCCTAAATTTATTAGAATCTTCGACCAGAACCAGAAAAATTTAAAAATCATACTGATTTAATAGACTCTCCTATTCGTCGTTGATCGAATGTCATTAAACAATATTTTGCTCCAAGGTATTTAAACCGTTAACCATTTTTTATGAGTGGCCAATTGTCTTAAATCTTTTGCCTATTCAAATGAACGTTTCCACCCATCTAACAATTTCTTAACCTATATTAAATTTCCGATTATGTCAGCAAACATGGCAACACTTCTGGTCCATTACCTTAGATTGGTCGGT